GGTGGTTCAGAATATGGCGGAGACAGCAGCCAGGTTCAGGAGCCAGCTGAGGAACGTCCAGCACCTCCAAGAAACTGCCGCCATTCTTGAATCTGGGGATACCTTGGGGCGGTTCAGAATATGGCGGAGGCAGCAGCCAGGTTCAGGAGCCAGCTGAGGAACGTCCAGCACATCCAAGAAACTGCCGCCATTCTTGAATCTGGGGATAACTTGGGGTGGTTCAGAATATGGCGGAGACAGCAGCCAGGTTCAGGAGCCAGCTGAGGAACGTCCAGCACATCCAAGAAACTGCCGCCATTCTTGAATCTGGGGATAACTGGGGCGGTTCAGAATATGGCGGAGACAGCAGCCAGGTTCAGGAGCCAGCTGAGGAACGTCCAGCACATCCAAGAAACTGCCGCTTTTCTTGAATCTGGGGAGGGGTGGTTCAGAATATGGCGGAGACAGCAGCCAGGTTCAGGAGCCAGCTGAGGAACGTCCAGCACATCCAAGAAACTGCCGCCATTCTTGAATCTGGGGATAGCCTGGGGCGGTTCAGAATATGGCGGAGGCAGCAGCCAGGTTCCAGCAATTCCAAGAAACTGCCGCCATTCTTGAATCTGGGGATAACCTGGGGTGGTTCAGAATATGCCGGAGACAGCAGCCAGGTTCAGGAGCCAGCTGAGGAACGTCCAGCACATCCAAGAAACTGCCGCCATTCTTGAATCTGGGGATAGCCTGGGGCGGTTCAGAATATGGCGGAGGCAGCAGCCAGGTTCAGGAGCCAGCTGAGGAACGTCCAGCAATTCCAAGAAACTGCCGCCATTCTTGAATCTGGGGATAACCTGGGGTGGTTCAGAATATGCCGGAGACAGCAGCCAGGTTCAGGAGCCAGCTGAGGAACGTCCAGCACATCCAAGAAACTGCCGCCATGAGTGAATCTGGGGATAACCTGGGGTGGTTCAGAATATGCCGGAGATAGCAGCCAGGTTCAGGAGCCAGCTGAGGAACGTCCAGCACATCCAAGAAACTGCCGCCATTCTTGAATCTGGGGATAGCCTGGGGCGGTTCAAAATATGGCGGAGGCAGCAGCCAGGTGCAAGAGCAGCTGAGGCTGAATCCGGGGCTCCCGCAATGATGTAGGGCGCATGTCGGGCGCTCAAAGCATGATAAAAAGGGAACCCACTTTGGTATATCACAAGCGTCCCTTTTTTGTAAGATGTTTGTTTTGTTTATGTCTCTGGTTGTAAAGGGAGTCTATCTATCACTGGAAAAAGTTCAATTCCAGAATCCGTAGCAAATGGAAGCAGCTGAATATTTTCCACCATGCAAACGGGTGAGCCATTTGGTTCCCTGGCAAATCATGGCCCTCGCCCACCCCATCGACTTTTCACCTTGTTTCGGGGTGGGTGTGGCTCAAATTAAAAACCACAGGGGTTACGCAGGTTTTCGTCTTTCCCATTTGCCAAGGCGCCACTTTGGTACCTGGGTGTGGCAATCAAAAATTGACGCGGGTTATCGGGGCAAGCCGCAGGTTGTGGTCCCCATGTTTCCACTGACCAATCGGGCTTGCGCCATCTTGGAGTTCCGATTTGTTTGAGCCACCGCCACCCCAAACCCCCTGGGTGTCCAATGGAGGGGTCGGGTCGCGTAGTGGCGCTGCTTTTCTTCCAAGGGGACAAGGGTGGACGGATGAATAATTGGGGGGGTGATCCATGCCAGTGGATTCCAGGCGGTTCGCGTTGCGAGAAAAAGAAGAGGTAGGCAACCCTTAAGGCCTTGGCCATTTTCAACTTTTGGTGCCACCATGTTTTTGAGCGTAGGTCGTAAGTCGTAACGAGCCGTGGGTCTGAGAAGCGACGGCTCCTCCTGAAACCGAGAAGGGGGTCTCCCTGAAACCGGGTAGGTCAAAAATGGGTACCACTGGGGGTTTTCAGAACGTGGGGCAAATGGCTTGCCCTAAATGGATGGACACAGCTGGACTAAAACCTCTCGGTCCGCTGAATTCCGGGTGAGTTAATTCATTTTGAGACCCATAAACCAGAAGTTTGGGTTGCAAGAACGTTAGCTTCTGAATAAGTTGGTAGTTGGAGGGTCCACTAAAACAAATCTTCCTACGTTTTGAGTAAAACAACTCCATTGGTCTGGTTCGATCCGTTTCAACTAGGTCCCCCAGTGCCCTTGGAGCCGGCTTCGCGGTTCCAGAGGGCAGACTTCCACAGTCCGGAGTCCACTGGAGGGAAGGCACCTGGTAGACAACGGCACTAGGCCCCCCAGCAATTGGTGCCCGACCTCTCACCCTTTTTGGGTTTGGGAGGGTTCCCCCTTTTTGGGGGGAGTTTTTGTTTGAAAGACAAAAACATAAAAAGGTTAAGGTACCCTCATTCTCAGTTGTGCAGTGGCACCAATTCTTCTTCAACCACTTTTTTTGGTGGCTGCCCTAAACATGCTCCAAGCCCCAAACAAAAATGTGGGCTCCAATTTGTTATTTTTCTCAAAACGGTCACTTCACGTATTCCAAAACCTCTCCACATACGGACCTTCCGTGGTTTAACTAGGAGAGACCTGTCAACATGTTCTCAGCTTCCATGGGCTCCGGTCAGATCCCGGTCAGCCAGGCCCCGACACCCGACAGCCGATGCCGCCTTTTTCTCGTTGGCTGTGGCAATCATGTTTTTTTCAGAGGGCAAACCGCGGGTTTTGGTTTCCATGTTTCCACTTACCGATCGGGCAACCCATTTTGAAATTCCGATTTTTTGAGCCACAGCCATTTATTTTGGGCCTAACACACAGGTTTTGAGACCCCAAACCCCCTCATTGGTGTCCAATGGAGGGGTCGGGTCTTCCATCGAAAGCCGAAGCCAGGAGCCTTTGGGTGGTTGGTATGATTTGTCGAGCCTCTAGGAAAAAAAGGGGAAAGAGGTACCGTATTTACCTAAAACCTGGAGTCCCAAAAGGCGGCTTCTTCTTCTTTTTTCGGGCAAAAGGCTTTGCCCGACAAAAATGGTCATACGATACGCCATATACGTTTTTCTTCGGTTTGTGTTCAAGATGTTATCGACAAAATACGGGTTTTATAAGGCCAAATACGGGCAAATGAGGCAAATGACCGGGAAAAAACAACTTACGGGCAAAACCGGGCCAACTACGCCTTTTGACCGAAAAAAAATGGCCTTTCGTGGTTCCAGGCAGGTTTCCAAAAAATACCCTAAAGAACGTGAATATGCAGTTTTTGATCGAGGTTCTCAAAGGGATTTGGTGATTGCTGACCTTGCCAGAAGCAGGTGGGTCTTTCAAAATACGGAAGCTCCGTCTCCTTTTAAAGGGCGTCTCGGGATATTTCGCACCTGAAACCTTTCTTCCGCCCAGACGCTCCAATTCGATTCATTTTGGGCCCAGCCAAGTTTTGAGACCCCAAAATTTCTGGGTGTCCAATGGAGGGGTCGGGTCTTCCATTGAAAGCTCCAGGAGCCTGTTGGCCCAGCACGACCTCCGTAAACCTCGAAAAATACCGATTCGTTTTGTTTTTTAGTTGGCCTAGGTCCCCGAGCTAGGTGCCCTTTGAGAAACTTTTTTGGGGGAGGGTTCCCCTACTAAAATAGACTACAGAAAAAAAAGGTACCCTTATTCTAACCTTTCTACTGGAGGACCTAGTGGTATTTTTGAGAAAGAAGTTGTCCGGTTTCCCGCCAATTACTCGAAAGACCTTCTCTCTCTCTCTCTTTTTAGTCGGTAGGTTTTTGAAAAACCGTTTTCGGGTTCCCCCCCCCCCCCCCCCAATCACTCGAAATACCCTCTCTTGTTCGTTTAGTAGTTTTTTGAAAAACCGTTTGCGGTTTCCATCCCTGCTTCAGCAGCTAGGAGATTCTGATCTAATGGGCCCTGGAAAGCCCTGCAGGGCCATTTTTTTCCCGCATGGTCATTTTTTGCTAACCGGTGGCCGTATTTGGCCATATGCAACCCGTATTTTCTCAACAATTTGTTGACAAAAAGCCGTAAATGACCGTATGTTTTTTTTTTTGTGGCTCAAGGTTTGGAGGTAGACCGATTCCTATTCGTCGCAGAGGATTTGGAAGGGCTCCATTTAGTGTGGTTTTCATTGGGTGTTCGGTTCAATGAACCAAACATTTGTTCCCGTAAAGAAAGAAAAATGCGGGTCTGTCTTTGAGTTAGTACCCTTTAGGTTTTAAAGGGAACCTACAAGGAAAACCGTTTGGTCATGTTGGGGGTCCGAATCCTAAAAAAAGACATCATCAAGGGTGTCTAGCTTTTGTTCACGCCTTAAATTTGTTTGACCCTTGGTACCTGTTCCTTGCATTCTTTGTTGGGACCCCCACAAGAGGGTGAGGGTTTTTCTGCACTTCCTGTGGATTTTGTTCTTCTTATGAAAGGGGGCTAGTTGCTCTGGTTGTTCAAGCAACGTGCTGAACTAAAACAATACGGCTTTCTTTGGCTCCATGCCAGAATCCCAGCCAGAAAGTAAGTCTTAAACCTCACTTACCAAAGCAACTCGAAGGGTTCACCCCCCCCCATTAAAAGAATGGTTCACCCAATTTGGATGATGAAGCTCCTAAAGGGTAAGCTCCCATTGTTAGGGATAAAGCCCCGGTTCATTGGTTCTTTTCTGGTGTCCGATTGTGAAGGGACACCTTCAATGATGGCGGAAAACCATTTCGCCCCACAAAATGAAACGATGCAAGAAACCAGAATGTCGGTTTTGTATTTACAGGGGAATCATCATTCATTCCCCAGAATTAGCTCCCCTTGTTGTTTTTGTTTTGCTTTCTTGGGGTCCCTTTAATTTCCACTAACCAGGCAAGAATGATACTTTGTTGCTGGGGTCCTAATTCCAGCCTAGATTCCAGGGTTTCTGAACGGTGGTGCAGGATTCAGTCCATCCACAGTATGTAGAAGAAACAACGCCGACTTCTCTCTTATCGCTTTTCTTAGGAACAGGGTTGTGGGATCAGGGGGTTTATCCCCACTTCTACAAGGATCCCATTTCCCACAGCCTTGCTCAGGAACCACAACTCCGTGCTGGGGATTCGGGATGTTGCCCGGGATGCTGGCGCGGCAGTGTCGGTGGTGACGGAGGAGGAGGTGGAAGATTGGCTGAGGCGAGTGTCCCTTCGTTGCCACAAGGGGTACCTGGACCCTCAAACTGCCCTAAAAAAGTTGGGTCTGACCAACCATAATTTTGGGCTGCAATATCCCATTTGAGGGTTCAGGTTCTTGTTCATTTGGAAAGTTACAAGGGGTCACTGTTCGTTGAACGCCTAGGGGTCGATGGGCCTGGGGTTGTTCGGAGCTGTTGGGGATGGGAAGTACCGGAAATGGTTTTGAGATGCTGCAGGTGTGTGTGTGTGTGCGTGGGTGTGTGTGTGTCTCTGTGTTTCTGTGTCTCTGTGTCTCTGTGTCTCTGTGTCTCTGTGTCTCTGTGTCTCTGTGTCTCTGTGTCTCTGTGTCTCTGTGTCTCTGTGTCTCTGTGTCTCTGTGTCTCTGTGTCTCTGTGTCTCTGTGTCTCTGTGTCTCTGTGTCTCTGTGTCTCTGTGTCTCTGTGTCTCTGTGTCTCTGTGTCTCTGTGTCTGTGCGTGCGTGCGTGCGTGCGCGTGTGCGCGTTTGCGTGAGATCAGTTTACTTAAGTGCAAGGATGACATGTTGCCAAACATTAACCCACCCTAAATGAGTTCCCTTGAAATGCATGGGGGCTAGGCGGTGCAGCCCCAAGCAAAACCAGAGTTAGGATGTAGAACTCGCTTGGCAGAAGAAAGAAAGACACCCAAAGGCGAAGCAATCGAAACCATGTTCCCACCATGAATGGGGACCAACCAAGAATGGGCAACCCCCGTTTGGGTTTGCCTATAAAAGCAAATAAATGTGGGTCCCCCAAAACATCGCACACCGCCGGGCGGTTTCAAAATCTTTGAACGGGTCGAAGCAGTCGAAGCAAGCTTATTGGACACAGCTAAGTGGGATTCCCATGCAAATGAATACGTTAAGCATGTTTTTCTGCCCCCGACTCCAAATACCCGGCCTTTTTTTAGTTGGTATCATGTCGACCCTCTACTAAAAAAGGGATCGGTATTTACCATATGAAAAACCGAAACAGATTTTCCAAAAAAACACGAACTAGAAAAAGGCCGGGTATCTGGAGGTTACGGGGTGGGTCCCATCTTCATCCGAACCAACTGAGTGAGAATGTACCAGTCGTGTCCATGACCCTCAAGAATATACGGATCATGACCCATTATCTTCCCCAGAAGTAGCTCCCCCTTTCTTTTCTTTTTGTTTTTGCTTTTTTGGGGTCCCTTTGTTTTCCACTAACCCGGCAAAAAGGATAATTTCTTGCTGGGGTCCTAACTCCACCCTAGTTGGTAGACGGTCATGAATCATGTCATCCGCATGTTTTCTTTGGACTGAATATTGAAGACTACACATGGTTGTCGTTGGGAAACATTCTGCATTTTTGCTTATGGTTGTTTAGTGGGAATTCCCCACTGAACTGCTTTTTTTTTTTTGGCTCCCCTTCCAACGTCAACCAAGTACAAGGGTTTGCATGATTAGAGCAGGAAACTAATGTCTAAAAGCTGTGGTTTCCTTCCCCACCTTTGTTCTTGGTTGCCTCCCAGCTTAACATACGTAGCCACAAAACTCCCCATCTTCAGAAGCTCGTTTTGGGGGGACCTTTGTTTGGTCCCATGTTGATTTGAATAACTTCTAGGTGTCCCAGTAGTGCCCTTTCTCACCCCGTTTTTGGTTGGGAAGGTTTTTTTTTACTAAACTAGAAACAAGTTGGTACCCTTATGCTAACCTTCAAAACTGGAGGACCTAGACTAGGTCACCAGGGTTTCTTCCCTCTTGAACCTTAAAACTCAAAACCCAATCAACATTGCTTGTTTGCACGGATCCACTGCAACCCATTGAGGGACCATTTTTGTTGATTGCATGTTGATTTGAATAACTTGTAGGGGAGTAAAAGTTGGCTTAGGGGATCCCCAAAACCGGTTCATTCAACCACATTCCCTACGGAACTCGCACCCAGCAAGCTTTATATAGGTAGAACTAGGGGATTCCCCTTCCAACCAGGGAAAACAAAGGCGTTGGTACTCAGATGCCCAGTGGCCATGGAAAGAAACAGAATCGGCATCCTTTTTTGGTTGAGTTTCAAGGAATCGGAACCCTTCCCCAAAAAAAGTTGAAAAATGGGCGCTGGGCAACTGGGGTGAGAAGTCGGCTTTGTTTCATCTACTGTGGATGGACGAAATCCATTTAATTGGCACCACCGTTCAAAAACCCGTCGGAATGATGATTCCCTTAAAAGGGTACCCCCTACTCCAAAGACCCGTGGGAAATACCTTCTTTTTTCTTAGAGGGTCGGCATCACACCCAAAAAAACGTGGGTATTTGAAGTAGTCGGTACGTTTGGAGCTTGGGTCAGTTTGGCGCCTCGTTTTCGCTCCCTTTGTCGTTTAGGTTTGAGCCCTGAGCGTTTTCCAGCGAGTCATTCCTCCCGTTCGTTCCAACAGGTCCCTGGGAAAAAGAAATGGACCCGAAAATGACAACCAACTTAAACATGGGGCGCGGGTATGTGGCAAAATGGAGAGATTTCCCCACATGCAGGTCAAAATGGCGGCTCTCTAAAGGACTGCGTGACCTGGATCCCTTCAAGCGCCACCTCTATAAATCTCCGGAAATCATGTCAGATATTCATAATGAACAGACATGTAGAGAGTGAAGCAAGATAGTGAATTATAGAAGTGTCCCTGCATCCTATCTGTTACCAACGGAATAATCAAACTTGGGCGCTTTTCGCCAAACAAAAACACAAAAAAAAACACATGGAACCTACATTCCGTCCGCACGGTTGGCCGAACGACCCCAAAGAGGGTCCTTTTGCCATTCTGAGAGCTTCTCTTGTGCACAAGTCATGGCTTTATAAAGGTTCTGAGCACCACCAAGAAAGCCCCCAGAGTAACCTCCAAACTTCCCCAGAGTGAGCTCCTCTCTCTTTTCTTTGTTTTGCTTTTTTGGGGTCCCCTTTGTTTTCCTCTAACCAGACAAAACATGTATATATATATATATTGCTGGGGTTCTAATTCCAGCCAAGCAAACACCGGCGCGTTTTTGGTAAAATTGGATGGGGAATCCCCTGGCTATTGTGGTGGTACTGGAAGTATTGGGAATTGTGTATACTCCACGTAGATTCCCTTTCGAACCAACAGGAGAAATCACATACATTAATTGGCGTGTGGGATGTATTTAGAGTACCCCTACTCCAAATACCAACGCGTTTTTAGTTGAATTGGTGTCATGTCATCTTTCTCTCTCTCTTATTTTATGGGATCGGTATTTCCCTTGGAAAACCGGTCGGTTGTTCTTAAACAAGCTGAAAAGGGATGGTATTCGGAGGTTCCGGGGGTACCCTCGGACCGCGAAATGTGTGCGGGTCCCCGAAAAAAGACACACGACACCCCGATAAAACAGTGAGTGAGCCAAAGGGTAGGCCGTGTGGTTTTGTGTGGTCGTTTTGCGAATGTTTGATCACCCCAAGAATTCGTTTTCCATTGGATTACCTGGAGTCTCCCTAAGGACCCGAATCAAAAATGGTGGGTCATTACCCAAAATAATGGTTGGTCATGGACCCATTTTTCAAGGGTCATGGAGACTCCAGGTAGATGAGTTCTGAAAATGTCCCATGGTGTTGAAGGGAATTTCCCACTGGACCTTCGTGCGTGAACTCTTGGTTCGGAACCACCCGTCCGGTTCAACTTAGGCTTTCAGTTGTATGACTCCAGTTGGTTTGGTGGTTCGGGTTCCATTGAGCCCACAACTTAAACTCACTTGACAGCCCAGGAAAATATGGAAGTTGAACCTAAAACCATGTACTGTAATCGCTTCTTTTTCATTTGAGGGAAGGAGACTGGCTCTGACAACGACAGTTATCTGGGATCGGACAACGGTTGGTGCCCAGAAAACCCCTTATACCCAATACCCACTTTTTTTAGTTGGCATCATGTCGACCCTCTGCTAAAAAAGGGACCGGTATTTACCATGAAAAACCGATCGGTTTTCCAAAAAATACCAACTAAAAAACGTGGGTATTTGTACCCAGAGGCTCCTGGCTTCGGCTTTCAATGGAAGACCCGAGCCCTCCATTGGACACCCAGCGGCTTTGGGATCTCAAAACCTGGCTGGGCCCAAAATAAATCGAATTGGAGCGTTTGGGGGAAGGCGTTGGTGCCCCAGATAATTTTTGTATTTCTCTTGCAACCTTCCGTGCCAGACTCACAGACACCTCTCACCCGAAGGGCCCCAAACCCCAAACCCGCCATGTGCAATGAAATCCATGGGGGTTGATATCACCTCCATTTTTTTTTGCCTAAGGTGTCGTCATCTAAATTGGGTCCTCTCAGTTGCCCTTCTTTTCATGGGGGCTGAATCGATTTTTTCGGGTCTCACTGGCATCTCGTCAGGCTGCCAGAGAACATCGAGAATGCCACTGAGGCACCGCTCTCCCTGTGACTTGGTAGAGGCATGTGGCCGCCCGCCCTGTTCACATGGAACCTGACGCGGGTGGCGGGGGTGGTCCTGGTTTGGAGCTGCCTGTCAAGTTCCATGTGAAAAGGGTGGGAAGGTAAGAGACACCCCGACGAGTGTGCAAACTTTGGAGAAGGGCCTTCTTGAGAGCGACGATAGCGGCGAAGTTCTACTTTTGGTGGCTTCCATCTGGTTCGACTTAGCTTTTTAGATCCTCGTGTTTAGTACGGTAGAAATTCCGAATTTAAGCCACTAAACGTTCGTCAAACTTTTCGCTTGGGATCTGAAAACGGGCAGCCAGTTTTGGAGCCGCGATCTGCCTCGCTTCCTCAGCTTGACATATGTTTGAGTGCCCATCTTAGCTCAAGCCTCACTCCCACTCGAGTTCCGTCTCGGAGCTTGGAGGTCTGGACCATTCCCAGGGAGTCCAAAGGCCGTTCAGTTCCGGAGGCCGTTGAAACACGGGTTGGTTTTTTTTTTTTTTTTTTTTTTTTTTTTTTTTTACGGCCTTTCTACGGGGTGTCTAAAAGGCCGTTGACAAAAGGCCTAAGTTACTCAGGCCGAGGAAGCTCTGGGATTGGTAAGTTCAAAGTTTAGACCACGTTTTGTTGCCATTCTTCAATCAACAAAAGTTGCAGTGATTCAAAGACAACAACTTGTAGAAAGTTTCGACTTAGTTTCTGCCAATCCACTCAGGATTTTATATTTGTTCCTCTGGGTCAAGGAGACGAGTCAATCATTTTCCTTGGGTGACCGGTGATTGTCGTCTGAGGTTCAAAAGGTTTTTTTTTTTTGTCGAAAGGCTTTGCTCGAAAAAAATATGGTCATACGGCCAACTACGTTTTTTCTCGCCAAAATACGGGTTTTATACGGCCAACTACGGGGTTTGTGTTTGTCGACTTGAATGCACCCAGAAGAACCCGCCAGCGCCATGAAGGTGGATGTTCACTTGCGGAGATGGTTTCTCCGTGGAAGTCTCACCGGAGATGCCCATCAGCGAGCTGAAGGCTGCCGCGCAGCAGCATTTTCGGCGCCGCTTGACGCTCACTGCGAAAGGCCGGCAGCTCGATTTGACAGCCACGCTGAGTGAGGTTGGCTTGCGAGATGGAGATGTGGTGGCTGCCGTTGTGCAGCTTGGCAAACTGGCTGCCGCTAGTAAGGCGTTTGCTTGGCATGGCCACGGGGGTAAGGTTGTGACCTGGGGTTATAATAGAGAGGGCGGAGACAGCAGCCAGGTGCAAGGGCAGCTGAGGAACGTCCAGCACATACAAGCAAATCGCCATGCTTTTGCCGCCATTCTTGAGTCTGGCGCGGTTGTGACCTGGGGTGATCCAAAATGTGGCGGAGACAGCAGCCAGGTGCAAGAGCAGCTGAGGAACGCCCAGCACATCCAAGCAACTCACTATGCTTTTGCTGCCATTCTTGAGTCTGGGGCTGTTGTGACCTGGGGTCGTCCAGAATGCCAAGTGCAAGAACAGCTGAGGAACGTCCGGTCTGTCCAAGCAGCTGTAGCTGCTTTTGCTGCCATTCTTGAGTCTGGCGCTGTTGTGACCTGGGGTGATCCAAAATGTGGCGGAGACAGCAGCCAGGTGCAAGAGCAACTGAGGAACGCCCAGCACATCCAAGCAACTGGCGGTGCTTTCGCTGCCATTCTTGTGTCTGGGGCTGTTGTGACTTGGGGTAGTGTATTACACGGCGGAGACAGCAGCCAAGTGCAAGAGCAGCTGAACAACGTCCAGCACATCCAAGCAACAAAAGGTGCTTTCGCTGCCATTCTTGAATCTGGGGCTGTTGTGGCCTGGGGTGATCCAAAATGTGGCGGAGACAGCAGCCTGGTGCAAGAGCAGCTGAGGAACGTCCAGCACATCCAAGCAACTAACCAAGCTTTTGCTGCCATTCTTGAATCCGGGGCTGTTGTGACCTGGGGTCATCCAGAATATGGCGGAGACAGCAGCCAGGTGCAAGAACAGCTGAGGAACGCCCAGCACATCCAAGCAACTGTAGGTCCTGCTGTAGGTGCTTTTGCTGCCATTCTTGAGTCTGGGGCTGTTGTGACCTGGGGTGATACTACAGAGGGCAGAGACAGCAGCCAGGTGCAAGAGCAGCTGAGGAATGTCCAGCACATCCAAGCAACTGATGGTGCGTTTGCAGCCATTCTTGAGTCTGGGGCTGTTGTGACCTGGGGTGATCCAAAATGTGGCGGAGACAGCAGCCAGGTGCAAGAGCAGCTGAGGAATGTCCAGCACATCCAAGCAACTGATGGTGCGTTTGCAGCCATTCTTGAGTCTGGGGCTGTTGTGACCTGGGGTGATCCAAAATGTGGCGGAGACAGCAGCCAGGTGCAAGAGCAGCTGAGGAATGTCCAGCACATCCAAGCAACTGATGGTGCGTTTGCAGCCATTCTTGAGTCTGGGGCTGTTGTGACCTGGGGTGATCCAAAATGTGGCGGAGACAGCAGCCAGGTGCAAGAGCAGCTGAGGAACCTCCAGCACATGGTGCCAAGCAACTGATGGTGCGTCCAGCACATTGGGTGCAGCCATTCTTGATTCCGGGGCTGTTGTGACCTGGGGTGATCCAGCCCGTGGCGGAGACAGCAGCCGGGTGCAAGAGCAGCTGAGCTTGAATCTGGGGCTCTTGTAACATGGGGCCGTTCTTTTCGCTTATTTTGGGCGCGCAAAAAGCGTGCTGAGCGAAGGGCGACAAACGTTTGGGTATTGTGACTTGGGGCCAAGACGGCAGCCAGGTGCCTCCGAGCTTGAACCTGGGGCTGTTGTAAAAGGGCCACAAGTCTCGGGGAAAAAACATCCTTACGGGTAAAAACCCGTCCAAAGATTTTACGCCTTTTGACCCAAAAAACAAAATGTTGGCCTTTCGGGGCTCCAAGGGGTTGACTAACCTGGAGTCTAAGGAGCCAGCCATCCCATTACCTATTTAGGCTTTTAGTTGGTCTCACTTCCTGAGTTCATGACTTTTTTTGGGCCATCCACTCGGCCAGTGAGTTAGGCTTTTAATTGGTTTAGTGGAGGGGTTTCCGAGGTTCACTCACTACATCGCTTCGAGCGAGCGGGGATCAGAACCGGGGCAGCCCAAGTAAGCAACCCCTTACACCCAATACCCCTGGTTTTTTTTTGTGTGTGTTGTCGACTCTCTACTAAAAACGGGATCGGTATTACCCCGGAAAACTGAAAACGGTCTGCTAATCGAGTTGGCATGTGGAGATTCCCGGGGGGACTTTTGAGTATTAATATGGGGGTGTCCCTGGCTTTAGCGGGGATTCAGACCACTTTTGGAGGGGAACACCCCAATAAAAAATGTTGACCGGGGTCTTCGGAAAATCCGGGGTCACTTGTTTCACATGAACCAACCATCTTCCTTTTGGTTGTTAAAGGTGAGCCAATTGCCTACAAAACCCAAAAAATGGACTCGCGGATATATACTTGGATGTTGGATTCGCCAAGTTAGTATCTGGTGACCGCCACTTGGGTTATAACCCACCAACCCCTTACACACACTACCCTTTCTTAGTTGGTATGATTTGTCGACCCTCTAATAGAAAAGCGATCCTGGAAACCCGATCGGTGTTTCCAAAAAAGCCAACTACAAAATGGCCGAGTATTTGGATCGGTTACTTTAAAAGAAGATCCCACATCCCACATCCCGAGGGTCCCACATCCCGAGGTTCGCCTACCCGGCGGAGGAGAACTTTGCGGGCCGGATCTTCCCACTTTCGTGGTCTCAGACGCTCGCGAGGCGCGGCTCGGCTCGCGGCTCGCGCAATGAAGACGCCGAAGCGGGTGCGAAGCGCGTGTGTTGTTCTTTCTTTTTTTTGGGCGGGGGGGTCGCCCTGGGCACGGTTTCAGCTTGCCCCAAACAAAACGCATTTCAGAACATGCGCTGAGAGCGAGTAACAAGCGTTTCAGAATATCAATTAAACACTTCATGGCCATGCAAACCAAAGAATCGACCATGTTACCCATGAACTCCCAGTAAGGCCCAAATACCCCGCTCTTTCAGCTTCCCGCATCGCAGTTTTGGAACCGAGTCGGTGGTTTGGGTGGTGGAGGGGTGTCCCATCTCCTCCCAGGAAAGGCCCAGGGCTTCAAGTCCGTTTGCCAAACCAGGGCTGGTTCTGCATCTGACCTCTTAAAAAAACATCCACACTTTTCGCGACTTTTGGGGGAAAAATGGGCGAACCATGCCTGTGGGGATGGGGGCACCACTTACAATAGATACGGACAACCCCCCAATTCTGTGGACGCATCCGAGACTGGACCGGATTCTGCCCAGAGGCTCCTGGACCTTTCACTGGAAGACCCGACCCCTCCATTGGACACCCAGGGGTTTTGGAGTCTCAAAACCTAGCTTTAGGCCCAAAATAAATCGAATTGGAGCGTCTGGGTGGAAAGCAAGAAATCAGGGACTCAAGTCCTTGCCATTCACGGCGCGGGTGGGTCGGTATCTTTACTTCTTGGGGCCGTTTCGGGGACTCTTTCGGATTAGTGAAATTCCATGGGGCATCAGGAAATCAGCAAGTTGCGCTGGGTGCCCAGAGGTTGAGGATGTCCGATTTTACCGGCGGCTTGGATCAACTTGTTGGGTTTTTGTTTGGGGCTTGTTGGGTTTTTAGGTTTCTTGGTGTTTGGCAAGTTGAACTGGCAAGGTATTTTTTTTGGTTTGGCTCTGTTCACATCATTCGCTTTGGCTGCAATCCACGGACTCAGCTTTTTTGCTTCCGCCCAGACCAACAGTAGCCGTTGCCCCCTACTCCAAATACCCATGTTTTAAAGGTATTGATTGAAAAACCTGGGTCTCCATGGTAAATGCCGATCCCTTTTTTGGTAAAGGGTCGACAAATCATACCAACTAAAACATGCGTTGTTGGGAAACAGTTTGCATTTTTGCTTATTGTGGTTTAGTGGGAAATCCCCACTCAACTGCTAAAGAACTGTTTTTTGCGCCCCTTCCAACGTCAACCAAGAAAAAAAGGCCGGGTATTAGGTGTAAGGGGTACACTGAGAATCTCCATGACCCGAGTGGATGGCCAAGCACTCTCTGCCTACCCCTTGGTGCATGGGCCAGAAGAAGCCAATACTGTTTTGGGTTACACCTAAAATGGTCTACCCAAGAAGTCTGCTGTTTGTTTACACCTCAAATCGATTCTTACCCCAGAAAGTATCCTCTACAAAAAGAGGGATCGGTATTTACCCATGGAAAACCGAAAACGGCCGGGTATTTGGAGGTTACGGGGGTATTTTAATAGAGAGCGCAGCTCTTTTTTTGTTATTTTTGTTCGAGCTCACCATAGGGCAAAGGTGGATCTCTCAAATGAGCGAATCAACCTTTTGCACCTTTTGGGTTTTCCTATGTTGGTCCATTTCTGGTCACCCCAAAAGGTGAACCTTGTATTTCTGGTCCTTTTGGATTTGCTGAAATGAATATTCGTTATTTTCCGCTGTTGGTTTTGCATGGAATCGATTTCACTACTGGACATATTTCTTAGTTTTTCCAGGCGAAACGCACATGGAAGTAGTAAACCTTGCAGATAGGTGCAGATCGTCAATCTTCGCCCGGAATGGGTTGCCAAGTGGATTGCTTCCTTTTTCCTTTTTTTTTGGGGGGAAGGGTTCCTCAGTTGTTCAAAGCCGACCTTTTGACCTTTTGGTTTCCCTGCTTGGTCGTTTTTAGTAGGCGTCCTAAAAGGTTAACCTGTATTGATGGGTCCTTTGGGCAAGTGAGGTTCCTATTCCCTGAAAGTCGACCAAAAAAGGATGGCATTTGTTTTTTACTCCCCATGGAAGTCCACTGGGCAGCTGAGTGTACATGTTGTTTCTACTGGTGGAAGTACATGCCCCTTATTCATACCGGTTCCTTGGCTTCCGTGGTTTCCAACCCACTTTGTAAGGGATATATACCCCTTTTGGGGAGAGGGGTATAAACATCAGCAGGCATTTTGGGTTCTTTTGTCCAAGGGGTATGTAAAAGGGGTGTGTACAAACACCCCTGGATTGTTGTGTTGTTCGAATTCCATGGTTTGCGGTGTAAAAAATCAACCGGACGTAATTCTTGCAAGCGTGCTACAAATGCAATCATTCAACATAGATTACACATACAACACACACATGCGTACTAGATAAATGCCACATAGAAGTATATGAATATATATGAATATATATATATATATGTGTATATGCGAAATAATTCTAGATACTGGTAGTTACATTTCTAACCATGATTTAGATCCGGAACCGGTGTGGGGGTAGTCGGTTTTTCTCCCATTGAAAGAGTTGAGCCGCCTTTGGGACTCTGATTTGAGAGTAGATGGCTCAAGAAATGGGGGGGGAGTGCCATCTATTTACAAACGACCCCCCGACCCGATGTGGTCTGGGCCTTCAAAGCTCTCAAAGCAGAGAAAACCCCTTTTTTTTGACAACCACCGCCACAATTGTGAACCATGAAGGAAATGATTTCATTGCAACCCCTCATTCCCATTTCTAGCCACCCATTTTTCCTAGGGGTGTTGAAGTATTGTTTTTAAGGCTTGTTTGGTGGCTTCTTGACTTCTTGGCTTTTTGGCTTAGCCCTGTTAACTAAGCCCGAACAAGCCAAATACTACTAGTTTCAGCATGTTGCTTTCCCACACGAAAAACGGGAAAACACAAAAAGGAAAGACATATCAAAAACAGCAACATCCGCAGCCTTTTTCCTTTGGACGCCAGCCACAAGTGGATTCCAGTCTCCATTCTCCACTCTGGGTCTCTGGCTTTTCCAAGCTGCAATTTACTGTCATTGTTACTAGGTCTCCCAGTAGTGCCCTTTCTCACCCTTTTTTGGGTGGGAGTGGAGGACCTAGGTTCGTTTGGATAGAAATCGATGGGTACTGCATTAGATAGGTTTGATTTCCGGGAAGCCCATCGGCTTGGCCAGCGAATCGACCGGATCTAAGCTTTGAGTTTCTTGGTTTTGGTCACCACCTGTCGTCTTTTTCGGGGCACCCCTTGGCGTTAAAGGGAAACCAAAAGGAAGCACGCGTTTAAGAGAGGATACCCCAAGGAAACGACAGATCCAGATTGACTCCAAAAGGAATCAGTCACGTATCATGGTGGTACAATATTTTTGAGCCACAGCCTATGCAATTAGAGGAAGATGGACGCAAGCAAGCAAGCAAGCCAGCCAGCCAGCAAGCAAGCAAGCAAGCAAGCAAGCAAGCAAGCAAGCAAGCAACGGCAGCGGCCCTACCACCCACTCTGAGTCTCTGGAATGGCCTGCCTGGTCGCTTAAGAGCTCCCAGAAGGGAAACAACACCTCTGATTTTAGGGCAACCGAGTTGTAAGGGTAGTTCTTTCGGGAGGCAAATCGAGTGCGGGAAGGTGAACACCGTTTATTTCCGGGGGAGGTCCTGGGTTTTGTGAGTCATCCGTTTCGATCCTTCGGTTCACATCGAGCGACGTAGCACAAAGACCTCAAAACAGAAGCACATTTTTGGATGCATCCCACAACTCTTCCTATTGATACTCTTGCAATTTATTGGAGAGCCTGCATGCTCCCCCCCCCCACTTTTGGTTTCTTACCTAAACTGGTCAACACTGTCCTGTCTCCTCTTGTTCAGGACTTTGATGAAACAGTTGCAGTTGTAAAGTTGGTTTGTTGGCTTGCAAGCAACCATCAACTAGCATATGGGTGCAGTTGGTGCAGTTTGAGAATTTCAATGCCAGAAGGACCTTCCTGCGCCATGAAGGTGGATGTTTGCTTGCCCAGCGGAGATTGTTGCTCCGTAGCTGTCTCACCGGAGACGCCCATCAGAGAGCTGAGGGCTGCAGCGCAGCATCAGTTCCATCGCCCCTTGAAGCTCAGTGCGCAAGGCCAGCAGCTGGATTTGACGGCCACGCTGAGTCAGGCCGGATTGCGAGATGGGGACGTGGTGGCTGCAGTTGTGCAGCTGGGCCAACTGGCTGCCACAGGCAGTGCGTTCGCTTGGCATGGCCCCGAGGGCGAGGTTGTGACCTGGGGTGCTCCAAAATATGGTGGGGACAGCAGCCGAGTGCAAGAGCAGCTGAGCAATGTCCTGCACATCCAAGCAAATGGCCATGCTTTTGCCGCCATTCTTCAATCTGGGGCGATTGTGACCTGGGGTGATCCAAACTGTGGCGGAAACAGCAGCCAGGTGCAAGAGCAGCTGACGAACGTCCAGCACATACAAGCAAATCGCTTTGCTTTTGCCGCCATTCTTCAATCTGGGGCTGTTGTGACTTGGGGTGATCCAAACTGTGGCGGAGACAGCAGCCAGGTGCAAGAGCAGCTGAGGAACGTCCAGCATATCCAAGCAACTGGCAGAGCCTTTGCTGCCATTCTTGAGTCTGGGGACGTTGTAACCTGGGGTAATCCAGAATTCGGCGGAGACAGCAGCCAGGTGCAAGAGCAGCTGAAGAAGGTGCAGCACATCCAAGCAACTGGGTGTGCATTTGCTGCCATTCTTGAATCTGGCGCTGTTGTGACCTGGGGTGATCCAGCCAGTGGCGGAGACAGCAGCCAGGTGCAGGAGCAGCTAAGGAATGTTCGGCAACTTACAGAGCTTTTGCTGCCATTCTTGAATCTGGGGCTGTTGTGACCTGGGGTAATTCAGCGTACGGCGGGGAGAGCAGCCCGGTGCAAGAGCAGCTGAGGAACGTCCAGCACATTCAAGCAACTGACATTTCTTTTGCTGCCATTCTTGAGTCTGGGCAAGTTGTAACGTAGGGTATTTCAGAACACAGTGGAGACAGCAGCGAGGTGCAAGCGCAGCTGAGGAACGTCCAGCACATCCAAGCAACTGCCGGTGCTTTTGCTGCCATTCTTGAATCTGGCGCTGTTGTGACCTGGGGTGATCCAGCCCGTGGCGGAGAGAGCAGCCAGGTGCAAGAGCAGTTGAGGAACGTGCAGCACATTCAAGCAGCTGCCAGCGATGCTTTTGCTGCGATACTTGAATCTGGGCATGTTGTGACCTGGGGTAGTCCAATCTTGGGCGGAGACAGCAGCCAGGTACAAGAGCAGCTGAGAAACGTCCAGCGCATCCAAGGAACTGTTGGTGCTTTTGCTGCCACTCTCGAGTGCGGAGCTGTGGTGACGTGGGGTAATTCAGCATACGGCGGAGACAGCAGCCAGGTGCAAGAGCAGCTGAGTTTCAATCGGCTGTGCCAGGTGCACGTGCTTGTCAAAAGCGAAGAAGTTCCGGAACGACAAGTTTCACGGATACTGCCGTATGCTTCAACAAAAACGCTCTACGTGGTGGATTCCCAATTTGTTTTTCTTGCAAGCAAGGATTGACTCCAAAAGGAATCAGTCACGTATCATGGTTGTACAATATTTTTGAGCCACAGCCTATGCAATTAGAGGAAGATGGACGCAAGCAAGCAAGCAAGCAACGGCAGCGGCCCTACCACCCACTCTGGGTCTCTGGAATGTCCTGCCCAGTAGAAGGGAAACAACAATTGTGATTTTGGGGCAACCGATTTGTAAGGGTAGTTCTTTCGGACCCAGGCAAATCTAGTGCATGAAGGTGAAAACCGTTTATTTCCGGGTGAGGTCCTGGGTTTTTGTGAGTCATCCGTTTCGATCCTTCGGTTCACATCGAGCGACGTAGCACAAAGCCCTCAAAATAGAAGCACATGTGCCTACCCCGGTAACCTCCAAATACCCACTCGTCTGTTTATTGGTACTTTTTGAAACAACCTGGGTTTCCATGATCAATACCTCCTTTTTCAAGTAGGGTTGGCATGATACTCTATAAAAAGAGGGTATCTTTGTGTTTATTGGAGAGCCATGTTTTGTCCCACCCCCACGTGAGCATTGATACTGCGAGCTCCTGGGGCAGCGGAAAACAAAGTGGGCCCAAAAGCTTTAGTTGCGGGAAGGTAATCTGACCCATCCCGTTTTCTTGCTGAAATGATTATACTCCCGACTCCAAATACCCGGGCTTTTTTTTTGTAAGTTGGTATCATGTCGACCCTCTACTAAAAAAGGAGGTATTTGCCTGGAAAAACCAGGTTTTCCGAAAAATACCCTGAACAAGTTGCATGCGTATTTGGGGTGGGGGGTAATATGTTATCATATGTTCCGATTGTCCCCTGGTTTTTGAAGGGAAACAATATTGAAGGGAAACAATTTCAGTGGACACAACTTTCCGCCGACAATCAGCAAACGCCGCTCGAGAGAATAACAAACCGCCGAAATGCAACAAACATTGGACATGCTGAAACATGCTTCTCCCGAATGCCGCCGGTTTCCAGCTGAATTCGGCCGATTTCTTGCTGTGGTCCTTGTCATTCAGCGTCCAGACGAGACGCACAAAAATACTCAAGAAAAGTTGTGAGCCATGCTCCAAATGGGTCCGAGTGGCTTCCCTGGTTGCGCTTCTGAGTAAGTACTTGGGTCTTTGGCAGGAAGTGGTTCGCCACCTAGTGACGTTCACTCCGCTACGGGGGACCGATAAGTGGGTTACCCAGGCTGACCAAGCCAGGCGAACACCCAAGTGCATATACCCCCTACTCCAAATACCCACTTTTTCTAGGTTTTTCAAGGTAAATACCTCCTTTTTTAGTAGAGGGTTCACATCATACCCTAAAAAAGAGGGTATTTGGAGTAGGGGGCTGTATTCCAAAGCCGCTGACGACATCAATAAGTGAACCCCTTCAAACGGTTGAACACATAGACCACTACATTTGTTGCATGTTGCTTAGCTTAGCTGTTAGGACTTGAGAACTGTTTGCCAACTCATGGGTTTTCCGTATTAAACAATTAAACCACTAAAAGTTAAACTTTGAGCAGGGGTGCAGAAAGCAACCAAGACTAAGGGAGGCTATGGGGGGGGGGGGCTGTCCCTTATTAGCCCCTCCGTACCTGGAGGGCCCTTTGACACACACGAAAGTGCTCCGGACACAAAAAAATGCTCCGGACAGCTTTTGGCATTCGAGCGTTTTTGTTTTTCTGCTCAAATGCAATTCGCACTTCTTGAGATTGCCATTCGCTGCTTTGGTGAAGTGCTCGAGAGAAAACAAACCCGCAACTCGCGCGCAATCTCCCGCTTCTCGGGCGCAATTTGCCGCAACTCGGGCGCAATTCCAAAACGTGTGCAAAGCCAAAGCTGTGCCCCGCAATCCGTGTGTTTGCATAGTGGTTGCATTTTCCATTACTCGCGCACTTATTTGCCACGAAAGCTCAAGCAAGAATTTGTATCAATGGCCCCCTTCCCCCCATAGCCCGCCCCCCCGTCCATGAACACGATTCCAACACGCAGACCGCAGACTAGTCACAAGTAACCCCCAGACAAAGCATTAATAGGGGACCCCACGAATGGCTTTAGTGGCAACCCAACAGGTGATCTCCGATGATTTTCGGGTCCAAACTGGGCGTTTGTGAGATTTCCCCGTGTTTTGGGTGGGTTTTTAAAGGGACACACCAAGGAAAACCACCACGAGGGGCCCTGTTTTGGTGTGGCCTTTTTTGAGGGAGCCCGTTTGTTTTTGCGGGGTTTGCAAGGGAAACCAAAAGGACAACCGTTAAGTCATGGTAAACAAACACACCCCCTCCCTCCAAAACGGGAAACATGGCAAACAACGGCGCACTTGTTCTTTTCTTGCCAAGTTCGCAAGTTGCGGTCTCCCAGGTTAGGTTTCCACTCAGAAGTTTTGCTAAGTGAGGCGAACATCTTTTAAGGGGGTGAAACACACCAAATGACTGTGGGTCAAAAGTAGGTACCCAAAGTGGCTTTCCGCTTGCCCGATCGGTAAATGGAAACATGGACTAAAACCTGCGGTTTCTGGTTTGATTTTGAGCCGTACCCGAATGGCGATCACTTGCTGACTTGGCGAATCGAACATCCACGCACTCACTTTCTTCAGTTGGCGTCATGTCAAACCTGTGCTACAACAGGCATTTCTAGGGGTTGATTCCCCATTCTTTTCGACCATCGTTCTTTCCAAAAACCAGCCGTTTTCCTTGGGTTTCCGAAGGTTTTCTAGAAAGAAGGACCTGACCCATGGCGCATCACAGATTTGAGGAACTCATTGCTGGTTTGGAGTTTTTTTTTTAAGGGGGTTTAACCCCACTTCCAACTCCGAAAACGGCCACCAAAGACCTGCGAACTCCGCCCTACTCCAACTTTTTCTGGTTGGCATTTTTGGACAATCCGATTGGGTTTCCATGGTAAATGCCGATCCTTCTTTTAGTAGAGGGTCGACAAATCATGCCAACTAAGTAGAGGCTTCGGGTATTGGGTGCTTACGGGGTCCACAAAAAAAGGTCGCGAAGCCTGAAAGAGTTGTTGTGTTTGTTTCTTCTTCTCGAGGTTTAAACCCACTTCCGACTCCAAAAGCAGCCCAAAGACCTGCGGACCAGTCCCAAAAAAAGAGCGCGACGCCAGGCGAGGAAGCTCCGGGCTGGGCCGCTGGCGGGTGCTCTTAGACGCGTGCAAGTTCGCAGCCAGCCACCCACTGAACCTCACCGAGGCGCGAGGTGGTAAACCCCATTTACCCTCAAGGTTCGAATCCAAATCCAATCCATCCACTCACTTCCTGACTTCTATTTCTTGTTGGTTTCAACAAAAGGAATTCATCACTACTGGAAATATGTTGGTTGTTTCCTGGTGCCTTCACCAAATGGAAGTCTTTTTGGGTCTGCCAAAGGAAGCCTCAAGCGATCTACCCGCAAAGAAGGGAAAACTCGCCCAGAAATTTATTTGGGGCTGCAACCTGGGAATGTTGAGGGTCCATCTGCTGAAATGAAGATTTTATGCTTGCTTCCTGTATTGGTGTTGAAGGGAATCGAATTCAGAACTGGACATATGGGTGTGTGTCAAAAATACGTACCCAAAATGGCACCCGGGTAAACGGAAACAAAGACTAAAACCGGCGGTCCTTTGGTGGTTTAATTTTGACCCACACCCATATGTTGTTTTTTTGCAGGAGACGAAAAACAAATGGAGGATTCGATCTACTTTCTACTTCGTTTTCGTAGGCCACGCCCGCTAAATGGTTGGCGCGGTTCGGTGTTCCTGTCGGTTTCCGTCTGAAACCGCCAAAACGCGGGCACCCTCAAAACAAGACATATCCACTTGGATGGTCAACCCACTTTCATTTTGAAAGGAATATGTATGTTTGTTTGTTTGTTTGTTGGTTTGTTTGTTTCTTCCCCTGTCGGTTTAAAGGGAACCGATTTCACGGATATATGTTATCATTTTGCCAGGGGACTTCGGCAAATAAGGGCTTAGTAAGTTGGTTACAACCATGGCTATGAGCCAACTAATCCGTGGTACCCAATTATAATCTTAGTTACTTGGGGTGTGGGTTGAACATCCAAGAAAGGCCTTGGTATGTTTCAAATGGACCCCCCACCCCCACCCCACACCCACCATTGTACTTTCAAGAAGGAAGAACAGCCAGGTCCTTTAGTTTGGAAGGTTTTTGTGGAAAGAACGTTGATTGTGCGCCAACAAGGTGGACGATGTACCGTTCCTCCCCCAAAGTGGGAACCCGACAGCCCCGAGCAGCGATCACAAATGCTCAAAGCAATGTAAGTAAGGGAGCGCTGAAATCAATCCGCGCGGAAGGTTTTCCGCAGGCCGCGGAAGCTTGCGGAAGGGCCGGCGGAAGTTGACTACGAAATTTGCGCAGCGGAAGGGCGCGGAAGGGGAACATTTTTGTAGAAATCTCTTGCTCCCCAGCCCTTGCTTGGGCCCAACAATTGTTTTCGCCCCCCAGCCAAAAAACATTTTCTTCGGGCCAACAAATCGTTTCTGCACGAGACGTTTTTTCACTGGCCTCACACAAGCTTTTTTGGCCGTCACCCCGTAAGAAGCGGCTGAGCGCCGTGGGGATTCAAGCCCCATTATTTTCCGTCGGGGCAGATCGAGTCACCACGCAGGCTTCTTCTGAAATGGCCGGCTGGGCCGAAATTAACTTTTTAGTTGAAGCGAAATGGGCGTAAAAGCGATTTGTTCGGGCCAAACAAATCGCTTTTGCTCCCCGGGCCAAAAAACGATCCAAACAAATCGTTTTTGCTCCCGGGCATAAAAACGATTTGTTCGGGCCAAACAAATCGGTTTTGCTCCTGGGCGTAAAAACGATTTGTTCGGGCCAAACAAATCGGTTTTGCTCCCCGGGCCTAAAAACGATTTGTTCGGGCCAAACAAATCGTTTTTGCTCCCGGGCGTAAAAACGATTTGTTCGGGCCAAACAAATCGGTTTTGCTCCCCGGGCCTAAAAACGATTTGTTCGGGCCAAACAAATCGTTTTTGCTCCCGAGCGTAAAAACGATTTGTTCGGGCCAATCAAGTCGTTTTTGCTCCCCGTGCCTAAAAACGATTTGTTCGGGCCAAACAAATCGTTTTTGCTCCCCGGGCCTAAAAACGATTTCTTCGGGCCAAACAAATCGTTTTTGCTCCCGGGCCTAAATTGCGTGGAGATTGATGTGGGGCTCAATTCGCGGAACACTGGAGGAAGGGCGCGGAAGGACCGCGGAAGGGCTCCGTGATTTGGATGACTTGTGTGTGAGATGTGTTGTTCTCGCTGGCCCTGTAAGGGAATCGTAGCCGCGGTGTGTCGTGAGGCTTCACGTTTGCGGTTGCAAATCTATTGGGATTCGCGTTTCAGCGTCGTCTTGAGTATGGGACCCACAAACCGTTTGCTACAGCCGTCTAGGCTCCACAGACCAGGTCAGCGTTGCTTCACGAAAGAAACGGGTGGTGGAAAACAAGCTCAATATCTAGTTGCGTTGGCTTGGCAAGAAAGAGACGCAAGCCGCGGAAGGCGCGGAAGGGAAATGAGAGCGCGGAAGCGAACACCCGCAGCGCGGAAGCGCGCGGAAGCACGCGGAAGCGCCAAATGATATCATCGCAATTTGGCCTATTGATTTTGATCACCGCTCCCAAGGGGCTCTATGGGTGTTGTCCCCAGAGTAAACCTTGCGGTGTCCTTTCTTCGCCCGCTTCCGCTTCTTTCACCAAAGGTTCGCCCGCAAAAAACGGCCCGGATTTCACCCGCAAAAAAATCCTACAGATCAACAATGGGCTTTTAGCTTCCCAGGCAGGAATCGCTGCGTACACGCACGCGTATCCAAAAAAGATTTTGAAACTCTATTAAAAATGGAATCCTACAAGCAAACATGTAAACAAAATAGATTCCGTATCTATTTTGGCATCGTATCTTTAAAAACACAGCTCGTATTCAACAAATCGTATCTAAACTGCCTCAGAATGTGAGAGTCGATCTTGCCTTCCAAGAAATGGGTGCTGATGCTGCGCCCGCAAAACAAGCCTCGCACCGGCAGATCGCTGCACTGAGTCACGCAACTGCCGGCAAGATGTATTTCCAGGCGGCGTCAGCGCTATTCGATATCGCGCCATGACGGCTGTAACAGAGTTGGTCTGGCCAGCGATGACACAACAAATTCTGATAAGGCTTCGATCCCAGAAGTGGCTCAACCCAAGCGACCCGACCACACTAGCAAGTCAACATCCCCGCCCGTATTCTGAACTACATCTATTTGTTTATTTACAGCTTCAAAGTTTCTGCAAAGAACAAAGCACCCCCGCCTCCCAAGCGTCCGCTTCCGTTTCGGCAATCACGCATCGCGCTCCAGCACACCTAACCAAAGAAGCCGAGGCATCAATGCATAGAGTGTGCTTTAGACACAACTGACCAGAAGCCCTTTACTTTCTTGTTTTTGGCCTTGTCGGAGTACACCCAAAAAGCGCGAGGCACTCCGGATCGCAGAACTTGCTGCGGAAAGTGCTGAAAAATGAAACTTAGGATATGCCGCAAACTGACAGCTAGCGTAGTGAAACATGTGAACTGTGGCCAAACGCCTCCACTGAAACACTTCGGCTTCAGTGAGGATGTCTTGCCGGGCCAGCAAACAGATGCGGCCCAGCGCCTGCATGCCTTGGCCCCGGTGTTCCCCAAGTGTTCCGTCACATGCTTTGGCCGCTTCGGCCAGGTCAACGGTGAACTGTACAAGCGCGTTGGCCTGGCCAGCTTTGGCGCGTAGTTGGATACCCGTTTTCGGACACTCAGTCGTCTCTTGACTTGGTTCGCTTTGCATCCAGTCGCAGGTGACCATGCCCCGCATGTCCTGCACAGAAGAGGCCAAAAACAAGCAAGCAAAGGGCTTGTGGTCAGTTGTGTCTAAAGGACACTCTATGCATTTGCAAGTTATGCTTCGACGTCTTTGGCTAGGTGTGCTGGAGAAAGGTGCAAAAATGGCCCAGGAGCTTCGTACGAGACCAACTTTTGATGGGGACCTGGTCGGAGGGGTGCGTGGCGTCTACTACAACTACCGTTCCCTACCCGTAAGCCGGCATAGGTGCAAATTTTCAAAGTGCGAGCAACTATACTTTGGATGCCTTCCTACGCAAGGTAAGTGAATGCTGATTGCCAACGCAACAAGGCGAGGTTTGCGAGGTAGCCACCTGGCGGGCCAGGCAAGATTGTTCTTGAATGCTCTGAGTCTGTCTTGTTAGTGGCTACCTACCTTACTTGGTGAAACTAGTCAATCCGTTCGCTCATGTTTGAAGGTCGGCCCTGCGCAAATTCGCAGAGGGTTCAGCCTTTGATGGTTGCTAAGCAACGCGTGCGAAGGTGTCACTGGACCGTTGCCGAAACTGCTCTGAGACCGCTCCGTCGCCGCTTCTGTCAAGCAAAGGTCTGCGCGTCTTCCGAGGAGCCGACTTTACGCGCAAGGCCATGTTTTTCCCGCTTGCGTTACCCAGTCCTGACGCTTGCCAGCTTTGTCCTTGGACAATACCAAGCGGTCCCAAGACCATGCGGAAGTTATTTTTGAGCTTCCTTTGAATATTTGTTGCCCGCCGTATCGATTTCCCGTATCTATTACTATCTAAAAACATACAGCTTGGCGTATCCATTTTCTTGAAATATGCAAAAACGTATCTATTTTTAATGAAAATGTATTGCGCACGTATCTGTTGGTCTCTATTTTGCGACTGCCCGTATCTATCCACATCTGTTCGTATCTATTCTTGCAAAAAAAAAGCTACGTATCTAAGTATCTATTCTGATAGCGCTGAGGTAAATTGTTCTTTTTTGGGCCCCGTTTCGGCTCAAAAAAAGATAGTATCTATTCTTCAAAAATGCGGCAACTACCACAGCAAAAATGGATTACCTCCCTTGATCTCCAGGGCCGCTTCCGACCGGCACCGGGCGAAGCGCCCGCCAAAAAACGCCCCGGCTTTCTTTGCCCCCAAAACCGGCCTCCCTTTCCCGGGCGAAACGCCCGCAAATTCGCCGCCTCGCCCGGACGGCCCACCAGGCGCAGCCGGACTTCGTCACGCTGAGCTTCTACAAAGTCTTCGGCTACCCCACCGGCATCGGCGCCTTAATTCTGCGCTCTCAGGTGGCCCAGGCGTCCGAAGTCGTCCGCATGCCGAAGTCCCGAGAATCCGCGAGAATTTCTTCAAAATTCGGAGGCTTTCGAGGATACACTTTTTGGTCTAGGAATCGGACCCCCGAAATAAAAATGATGGGGTCTATTTTGGTGTCCCTTTAACGCCACAAAAAAGGGGCGCTCTCGTTGTGTCTGTGTGTGTGTTGTATGTGTTGTATGTGTTTGTGCGGTGTTTGTCATTATACGTTTGCTTGCGCTGTTCGATTTTGGTCGTGTGGTTATCTTGTTTGTTTCGTTGAATGGTGTGTGTGTGCGCGTGCGCGTGTGAGTGCGCAGTTTGCGTTTCCGGTGTTTGTGTGTAAGTATGCAGTTGTGTTTTGTTCTGTTGGGGGCTTGTGGTTCCTGCTGTTGGTGTTTTCGGAACATGTTGCCGCTGGCATGGGCAGACTGTTGGCTTTGCAGTGGTGTTTGATTGGCCTGATTGTTGCGGAAGAAACAAGCACCCTGACCCTCAAACTACCGGTGGAAACTGGTTGTTGCTCAACTCATTCTCCTTTTTCAGGGTTGAGCGTTTGTTGAACGGGGATCGACGGATTCGGTGGTTGACTGTTTCAAGGCACGTTGACTCAAAGGACTCCGTATCCGGGCGGAAAAAAAACAAAACACAGCAACGCCCCGACTCTCCATGAGCGACTGGCCAGCAACTTGCGACAGCCTTGTTGTCATGTCCGAAATGCACTGTGCTTCAGCTCCCGAAACAGCCCAAGCTTCTGCAATATGTTTTCGCCTATTTCAATGTATATCCTAATCTTCATTTGTTTGCAGACGCAGGTTTTTTGTTTTTTGTGTTTCACAATAATTGTTATTATACTGTTATCATATATGTATATATATATATATGTTTGGGAGGGGGGTCAGGAAACCCTTAGTTGGTGCTTTGGATTGGTGGCTTGGGGTTTGAACCCCTCCTTCCCGTAGAGGGTTTGGAAGGGAAGCCCCTTCTCAATGCCACACCAAACCATCAGGAGGGAAGCTGAGGAGTAGGCCGCACTTCGTTTGGGAAGGGGCGAATACCGAAAGCTCCGCTGCTTATAAATTTTCAGGCACCCCCTTGGTTTGGTTCGGGGATTTGAGCCTTTTGGAGTGCATGGGGCTTCCCACCCCTTGATTTGATTGCTATGGGGCAACGGATCTTTAGACTTTTATAACTTTTTGGCTGAAATCAATTGGTTTTCCGAACTAACCCCCACAAAAAGTGAAGCTCACTTTTTGCAGCAACAGCGACCAAGTTCCCAATGATCTTCATCCATAGTTCTCTGTGGAATCCACCGATCCAAAGCTAAGCTCACTTTTTCCAGACGGGTCGCTGCAGCCAAGCCAACCAACCCATTGGAGGGAAGCTCTCGCAAGGCTTCCTCAGCTCCAAGCCAGGTGTTTTTTTCCAAAGCCGTGGCACGAGATACAGCGCAGTTTTTTTTTAGGTTGGTTGGTTGTAAAGGGAACCCCTACGCGCAGAAAGGAATGGGAGTTTCAGAAGCACTCCGGACGGCCTTCGACGTTTCGCGCTGTTTTAGTTTTGTCGTTTCTGTTCAGCGGGGAACTCGAAAAAACTTGTTTTGCTAGATGTCCCACAAAGGGGTGGCTCGAATCTGTTTAGGTTCCGGAGCCCACAGATGTCGTTCTGGTTTTCCTTGGCAACCATGAAAACAGGGTACCTTCAAGCAAGACTCGCTGTTCCCCCAGATTTGGGCTCGATATCTTGAGGAACCCAACCGCCTTCCGAAGAAGAAATCGGGTCTGACACCCCTCGCAGGGGGCCCAAGCAGGCGACCCCTCAGCTGGTCAGCGATGCATCTGTCGGCTTGCCGCAAACTGGTTCGCAAGACATGGGTGTTTTCTTTTGGGGTATACACAAGCACATCAAGAGATCAAAACACGTGGCTGTTTATGTGGGTCTTTCCTCTTTCCTTTGCTGCTCCAAGAGAAACTACACTCGCCCAGCAACACCACTAGACCTTATCTAGGTCCCCCAATAGTGAGTGCCCTTCTCTCCCCTTTTTCGGGGGAGGGTTCCCCTACTAAAATAGACTACAGAAAAAATCGGGTACCCTTATTCTATCCTCTCTACTGGAGGACCCAGTTATAGATTCCAGGTCCCCCCTGACAAATCCGCCAGGAGCTGAGGAAGCACTACTGGGGCGGCGGCACCGTCTCCGTGGCCGGCGCCGGGCGCACGAAGAACGAAGAGCTCCGAGTCATGGTTGTTGTTGGGAAACACAGCCTGGTCTCGGGATTCAAGTTTCCTCATTTGGGGTGGCTTTGTTTCATACAGAAGGACTACCTCGCATCAAGCAACATGGTTGGATGCGCTTCGACTTGGATCGTTCGCATTAGTCCAAACAGTGGCAGTTGGATGTTCGATTCGCCAAATAAGTAAGGCAATCGCCACCTGGGTAACCCACTAATGACAGGCTTAACATGGCTTAACTCCACCGAACCATGGTGGTTGTTGGAATATATGTTTTCCATGTGTGCTTATTGCGGTTGAGTGGTTGAAATCCAACCACTTAACTGCTAAAAAATAGTTTTTTGCTCCCCTTCCAACGTCAACCAAGGAGTCTTCAAGGGCCGCGCCGCTGAGAAGTTCGAGGAGAGTCGCTTTGAGTCGCCTCGAGTCGCTTTGAGCCGCTTTGAGTCCCGTCCCTGGACCTTACCCCCGATTCACCTCCAACTACCCGACCTCTGTTTTTAGTCTTCTTTTATGGGACAACCGGTTGAACCCCGGGTCTGTCTCAAAGGACTCAATGTGTATTTCCCTTTTGGTTTTAAAGGGAAACAAATTTACGATTGCAGATATTTTCTCATTAGTCCAGAGGGACTTAAGCAAGGTGTGTTGTTTCAAGGGGAAATATCCGGGGGGGGGGGGGGAGGCTCTGATGCTGCTGCTGTGAAAACAACCGCTGGTCGGATTGCCATATTTCTCCCATGAACTCTCCTGTTGCTTTTCCCTATGTTAAGCTCCTATTTGTTGTGGCCCCAAAAATGTGATCACCATTTATGTTTGGGTCCGTAAAGGGGCGACGGAGAGTTTCTACTCCAGATGTGGGTGGCTCATTTGTTTGAGGCGTAGCTTTTTGGGTTTGCAGGAAATCCAGCAGGAATTCAACCGTTTCTTGTGGTGTTTTTTTTTGGGCGGGGGGGGGGGGGACGGGGGGTCCAAATGAAACTCAGTTGTTCAGCGGCACGCTTTTTCCAATTGTTTGTTTGGTGGCTGCCCCACTAAAAATGGTCCAAGCCTCGCCCGCCGCCTCGCCTGCCGCCTCGCCACAAGGACGGCACCGTGGCCTTCCTGGGCATCTCCGCGCTGAAGCACGGCTTCGCGGCGCTGAAGGTCGTGGGGGGCATGCACAAAGTGGAGAGGCGAGGTTTCCCAGAGCTTCCTCGGCCGTAACTTAGGCCTTTTGTCAACGGCCTTTTAGACACCCCGCAAAAAGGCAACGTAAAAAACCAACCCGTGTTTAAACGGCCTCCGTAACTGAACGGCCTTTGGACTTCCTGGGTGTTGGTGGTTGTTCTTCTTTTTTCTTTCGGAGCCTGTTGGACCCCCAATCAAAATAGGAGAGGCGGGACCGGACTGGTCGTTGGTCTCCTCATTTCCGCTTAGGAGTGTTTTTTTTAGAGTTCGGAGCCTCAAAAAAGATGGGGTTCGGAGGCGGGGACTGGGGTCGCTTGCGTTCACGTTTCTTTTTTTCTGTCGGATTCGGACCCCTCCCCCCCCAAAAAGAAGAAGTGGTCCCTCAGAAAAAAAAACCCGGCAAGAGACCCCAGGGCCCCAAATAGTATTGCGTCCAACTTGACGACAGGTGGCCCAGAAGCATAGAAAAACGTTAAATAAACACTGACGCCTCTCCCACCTGATGAGATCGTAAACACGTCGGTGCCCCTGCTCAAGCGTAGATTCTGATGAGCAAGCTCAGCATCATGCTTCACAATCTCTCCTGTCAACTTCTCGCACGCGTGATGCTGTGGCTTGATGTTGCGCGCGGAGCTGTGCGTGATGTTGCGCGTGATGTTGCGCGCGATGTCGCATGACGTTGCGCGAAATGCAGCGCATGATGCTGCGCATGATGTTCTGCAACCTCTCTTGCCAAATCTTTCATGTCCTCTGTTGAAAAACTCTCTTGTCCATATCTGTGAGCAGCTGCTGGCAATTTTAGCCGCGGAAGTGTACTTCGCATACTACCTGAACCGCGCGAGTGCGCTTCGCGCGCACGTTGCCATTTACGATTTTGCAGCCGGAGCTGCGGGAATGCACTGTATGTGCAACTTTGGACTTGTTCCATGGGAACGCACTTCGTACACTCATAAAAAATTGCAACTTTGCAGCTGGAGCTCCGGAGCGCACTTCGCGTAGGACTTTTGCACTAAAAACCTGCCAATTTCGAGCTGGAGCTGCGGGAGTGCACTTCCAGCACTACTCTTGTACTTAAAATCTCGATTTTGCAAGCCGGAGTTCTGGAGTGCTCTTCGCGTACTACTTTTGCACTTGAAACTTGCGAGCTATCAGCCGGAGTTGAGGGAATGTCCTCCGCAAACTACTTTTGTACCTAGAAGTTGCGAATTTCGAGCCGGAGCTGCGGGAGTGCACTTCGCGTACTACTTTGAACTTAAAATTGCGATTTTGCAGCCGGAGCTCCGGAGTGCTTTTCGCGTACTACTTTTGTACTTAAAAAGCGCGATTTTACAGCCGGAGCTGCGGAAACGCGCTTCCCGTACTACTTTTTGCACCTAGAAGTTGCGAATTTCAAGCCGCAGGTGCGGGAGCGCACTTTGCGCGCCAGCTTTGTACGTAAACGTTGCCTGCGCAGCCGGAGATGCGGGAGGGCACGTCGCACCCTCACGGTGCCACAGCGAGATCGCTTTGACACGCACGATCTCCGCAGAGGGTTCGCCGAGCTCAAGACAAATTCGCACGGCGCCACAGCCTGCAGAGCGCTTCGACACGCACGATCTCCGCAGAGGGTTCGCCGAGCTCAAGACAAATTCGCACGGCGCCACAGCCAGAGCGCTTCGACACGCACGATCTCCGCAGAGGGTTCGCTGAGCTCAAGACAAATTCGCACGGCGCCACAGCCAGAGCGCTTCGACACGCACGATCTCCGCAGAGGGTTCGCTGAGCTCAAGACAAATTCGCACGGCGCCACAGCCAGAGCGCTTCGACACGCACGATCTCCGCAGAGGGTTCGCCGAGCTCAAGACAAATTCGCACGGCGCCACAGCCAGAGCGCTTCGACACGCACGATCTCCGCAGAGGGTTCGCTGAGCTCAAGACAAATTCGCACGGCGCCACAGCGAGAGCGCTTCGACACGCACGATCTCCGCAGAGGGTTCGCCGAGCTCAAGACAAATTCGCACGGCGCCACAGCGAGAGCGCTTCGACACGCACGATCTCCGCAGAGGGTTCGCCGAGCTCAAGACAAATTCGCACGGCGCCACAGCCAGAGCGCTTCGACACGCACGATCTCCGCAGAGGGTTCGCTGAGCTCAAGACAAATTCGCACGGCGCCACAGCCAGAGCGCTTCGACACGCACGATCTCCGCAAAGGGCTCACTTTCGGCTTGCAACGCTTGCAAATGAGCGAAACGCTGCGCCTGCCACGAAATTCACAGACCCTGTCTCCGAAGATGCTGCGCCTGCCACGCATCATTTGCATCAGCGCAAAACATGCTGCGCCCACCACGAAAAATGCACGGCAGTCTCACAGAATGCTGCGCTGGCCATGGAATTCTGCGGCAACACGCAAATCCGAAGATCGGCGCGGCGCCACGGCGAGAGCGCAGTTTTGCAGAAAGGTCCGTTTCGTGCGAAGCTGTCGCACGCGAGACAACTTTTGGCGACAACTGCCATGGTTTTAGAGCTCCGATTGTCCAAGCGTGGTAGCCTGACCCGACAAGAAGATATCACCGCGTGGCGGCCCTGCCATCAAAAAACGCACTTTGGTCTCAAAAAAAACGTGTTTGGCACGAGGCTTCCTTAAAAAACGCACTCCACGTCGCAGCGCGAGCCTCCGTGTGACACGCCCCTGCCAGCAAAAAATGCATTTTGCTTCAACAAACGCGTTTTGGCACGATGCTTCTAGCGCGAACCTCCCAACTGTTGCCACTGCCAGCAAAAGCTGAAAAGTGCGAACGGCACCACAGCGAGACGCACGCACCAGCTGGCGCCTCCATTTCGCGCGAGACTGTCGCATCGAAGACAACTTTTTACGCACAGGGCCAGCAATTTGAGCCGACACCTCGATCTACACCAGGCCTTAACTCTTACCGTAAGAACCACTTAGTGTAAACACTATTTGGGGAATAACGTTTCTGGACGAAGGGTCTCCTTTTGGGGTTGGACAAATTTGAACCTTGGCCTTTTGTCACCAGTTTGTGTTTGAAGGGGGGGAAGCCCTCTGAAACAACAAAACAAAAAACAAGTAGTGCCCCCCAAATTTGGTGGTTTGCCTTTGGTTTTGCGAGAAAAGAACACCCTAACATGCCCTAACATGCTACCCGAGCCCTCAACACTACCCTTGAAAAAGGAACAAAAACCAGTTTTTGCGAATCACAAATTTCTTCAGGTACCTGGAGTGTCCTTCGTACCTAAATTTCTGCCCTGCCGTAGTGCTAAACCAAGGGTCGTCACCAAAATGCAGTGACCATACACTCTTTTCTTCTTCGCTGTTTTTTGGAACAGACCTCAGTGCAAACCGAGAGCAGATAATGCGCAACCGAGCGCAAATTTAACAAGCCGTAGCCATGGCTCGCCTCCCTCCGAGCAGATTAAAACGCAGAGACCGCCCAGTTTTGCTCAAACATGGATGTCGCGCTGTTTGACGCAATTTTGGCGCAGAAAAGCACGGGCTGGCGCGAACAAGAATCGTACGTAACTCAAGCTTGTGTTACAGGGGCGCAGGTATTTTGAGTAGTACTGACACATCAACAAGGTTTCTCTCAGGCCCACAAGGGCGATGGAAGCTTGTTTTGGTCCGACCCGTCTTTTTTTTGCGCGGGGTCGCACTAGGGGCTCTAAAAGTCAAATATGATGACCTTCACCGTTAGCACGTGTTTAGTTTGTATTATCATTATTCTTTCTCCGTTGTTTGGCTCTGTTCAGTTTTAGTAAGAGCCGTTCGGCCCTTGTGCCGGACCAAACGGATTCTCCCGACCCCGACCGAAACCGCCGAGAAGCTGAAAGGCCCTTTTTCAGCCAGGGGTTGACATCACGCCCCAAACCCAAAACCATGGTTTTGTGCCCCTCCAGGCAAGAGGCTCTTTTTGAGGCATGATTCGGGGTATTCGGGGTTCCCTGGAGCCTCAACGAATCGCTTGAACCAAAAACTGGGGTCAGAAAACCCCAAAGCTCATGAGTTTTCTTGTGTCAGGCTTCCATGTGCTGAAATGAATATGTTTGTCATTTTCCCCTTGCTGGTTTTCCAGGGAATCGATTTCACTGGAAATGTATACATTGCCCCAGACTCCAAATACCCGGCCTTTTTTAATTGGTATGATTTGTCGACCCTCTACTAAAAAAGAGATCGGTATTTACCATGGACACCCGACCGGTTTTCCAAAAACTGCCAACTAGAAAAAGTGGGTCTTTGGAGTAGGGGCTAAGGAAACGGCTGGGAACCACCAAGACTTGGGTCTTTGACAAAAATGATGGGTTCCGTTTTGGTTTCCCTTTAACACCCTGAAAGAAAAGGGCACCTGGAGTCTCCATGACCCTTTTAAAATCTTTTAAACATGGGTCCATGACCAACCATTATTTTGGGTAATGACCCCAGGCGACCCAGAAGGGTCAGAAGGAGACTCCAGGCACACCCACGTAAGACAGGAGGTTACAGGGGTACAATTCGTCTTCTTCCAGAAAACGAGCTTCCGGGTCCCCAGTTGCCCGGTGGGTGGCTTCCTTTTCTCCACTTTTGCTTTTGGTTTTGGGCTTCCCTTGAAAGTCAACCAACAAAGGATTCCCTTTTTTCCCCATGTGCCCTTTTTTCCACTTTTGTTTGGGAAGGGCTTCCCTTTAAAGTCAACCAACCAAAAATAACGGATCTGTCCGTACGGCTTGGGCCTCACAAATATGGCCGTAAGGGAAACACGATCCAAATATGGGTTCCGTCCGAGATTTGTTCCCCGTGCAAATCCACTGGGCTGGTCATCCATTTGCTTAAGAACATGTGTTATTTCCCTTGCTGGTTTTGAAGGGAATCTGTCACTACTGGAAATATGGTTATTTTTCCGGGGAGCGAAAGCGCAAATGGAAGATGTGGAGCCTGAGATCTTTGTTGGTGCTTCGTTGTGACAGCGCTCAGGGCCTTGCCAGAGGAAGCCCTTGTAAGTACGAGATAACTCACCGGGGGGCGAAAGCGCAAATGGAAGTGCTTGGAGTCTCCATGACCCTGTAAAAATGGGGTTATGACCCCTTTGTTTTGGGTAATGACCAATCATTTTTATTTCAGGTCCTTAGGGAGACTCCAGGTACCTCAAAAAGCGAGGAATTAAGAAAGGAAGGTATTTACTCAACGTGTGGGTTTTGGGGTGTGTTTACTCATTGCCCTTTTTCCTATCCCAGAGCTTCCTCGGCCTGAGTAACTTACGCCTTTTGTCAACGGCCGTAGACACCCCGTAAAAAGGCCGTAAAAGGACGTAAAGAGCCCGTAAAAAGGCAACGTAAAAATGAACCAGCCCGTGTTTAAACGGCCTCCGTAACTGAACGGCCTTTGGACTCCCTGGGCCTTTTTTCCCGTGGAAATCCAGTTGAAGTTCCACAGGCACACCTCGGCGCTGGCCGGAGAGCTCCATCGCCGGCTTCTGGAGCTGAGGCCTGCGATGCTCCCGGTCCAACTTCCGGCGTCCTTTGGTTGGTCAAAAAGGAAAAACCCGCCCTAAGAAGTACCCTCAAAGACACAGTTGTTGCTTCTTTCTTTTTTTCTTTTGGGGGGGGTACCCAACCTTCCGTTTGCTTTTAACAATGACACAGTGTGTTTTTACAAGGCCCCTGCTTCTCAAGCAAAGACACCCCTTTTGTTTGTTGATTTTTGTCTTAACAAGCCCCCTACTTCCATTTGCTTTTGGTTTTAAAGAGAATCGATTTCACTAGTGGACATACTTTTAGTTTTTGCAGGTGGCTCAAGCAAATGAAGTCCTAAGAAGCTTGATTCCTCTTGGGTCGGATCTTTAGATTGCCTTGTTGGTTGAAATTAAGTTGGTTTTCCATTGAACCCACAAACAGTTGAGCACTTTGTGAAACCAAAGAAGGGTACCCTCAAACAAAGACACACCCACATTGATCTTTTCCTGGAGTCTCCCTCTGACCCAACTAAAAAAGGGTGACTGTTTATGTTGGGGTAGATGTTCCCAGTTTTTGAGACTCAGACTTATAGAAGACTCCAGGTAGAGGGAGTTGTGACATGGGTGTGTATGTGTGTGTGTGTGTTTGCGAGGGCAAACGGAAAGACACATCTCCCACCAAGATTGTTTTCTCTTATTTGGCAATTGATCAAGGGACCAAGTGCACCTGGATGCGCCTTTTCTGGGTTTGACCTATTTGACTTGTTGTTGGGCCTGCTGTTGTAGTTGTTTAGTACTTGCAAATATCCGAAAGGGGGCCGGATCCACAACATGTAAGATAAGTTTCCTGGGCTAGTTGTCAGTTTGGGAAGCAATTGATCCCTACCAACACCATCACCTGCTTGAGCGGCTTGCATGTTTTATCTACTTGCTGCTAGTCTGGTTGAGAATATCTTTTAGATGGTCTTGGGGGAAGGGAAAGGACGCCAACCATTTGACCTACGTTCGGGATATGGCTGTGGGTCAAAACCATTGGGATCCCATTTTGGTTGGTAGGTGCACCACCCATTTTAGTCTATTTTAGTGGTTGGATTGGGATGTTCACTGGTACGATTTGGATTTTGACCCATGGCCATACAAGCAATTCCCGGCAGCTCAGCTCAGATGTTGAACCTACTCAGGTTACAAGCATGCGTGTAAGTCAACCCGCCCCTGTTTCATTTGGTTTTGGCTCAGCCAATGCCTATGCCCCCCAAAATGGGTCGTTTCCCTTTGGTTTCCTCTGAGCCAACCCCAGAAAGTGTACCCTAAAATGGACACGCCCAATGGAATTCATGATTGCAACCTGCTAGACTTGTTTCTGCAGGCTACGTACCTGGCGTTTTCCCCCAAAGGACAGAGGTCAGTGTGTTTCCTTTCTTGTGGTTTAGTGGTTGAAATCCAACCATCTACCTGCTAAAATTCTAAAATTTTGGCGCCCCTTCCGAAGTCAACCAAGGATTCCTTGAAACCAAGAAAGCTAAACAGGGCTCCTTAAAAGATACATTTTGCAACCATTTGAAACATGTTGCTTGTTCAACACCAAAATCAAGTTGGAAACCACCATTTACAAGTTGCAATGTTCAGGTGTATAATGCATCCGGATCCCTGCTTAAGTCGATGGAAGCTGGGGCCTTGAGTTCAATCGCAAGGCCTTCCGAACCTTCCTGGGACCCATACGGCCTTTTTTTTTTTGTCTACGCCTTTGATGGGGGGGGGAAACATGGCCATGCGGAGTTGTTTTACGTTTTTTTCAAGAACATGTCGAAAAAAATAGGGGTTTCATACGGGTGATTTACGCAAATGGCCGACAATTCATGGCCATACGGGCAAATACGGCCAAATACGGGTTTTTGACCGAAAAAACACAGCCATGCGGGGTGCCAGGTTTTCTTTTTTGGGCCGAAACCCACTCGACCGGAAGTGAGTGACTGCCTCTTTTGGGTTTCGATCGCCCCTTTAAGCGGGGCCATCTGGGGAGGCAGGGGATGAGGCGATTGGAAAAGCGGGCTGCGGATCGCACGAGAATTTCGCTCCCGAAAATCGATCCGCTGGTGCGATAAGTAGGGAATGTGGGAATGAATCGGTTTTGGGGATTCCCAAACAAAAAGGACAGCACCAGTTGGATGGTTTAAATCGGAGTCATTCCATCTCTCACTCCCTGCCTATCGCACCAGCAAGAAAGGGCTTGGGGGAGTTTTGGATCGAGCGCCTGACTGGGGAAGGAAAATACTTTCATGGTAGCCTCCCATACATGCTACCCCCTACTCCAAATACCCACTTTTTGTACTGTATTTTTTGGGAAACCTGGTTTTCCAAGGTAAATACCTCCTTTTTTAGTAGAGGGTCGACATCATACCCTGAAAAAAGCGGGTATTTGGAGTGGGGGGTTCTGAAGAGGAAGGGTACTAGCCCGGAGAATTCCCTTGGCACCCAGTTCAGAAGGGGAACAGAGGGTAGTGGGTATAATAATCATAAGGCCTTGCCGCCAATTCAGGTCTTATTCTGGAACTCCAGATTTGGGGGGGAGCTTTGGGGGCATCCTGTGATCATACCTGTCTCCGAGTCTGCCACTAAAAGGTGGGGACATTGTGCAATTGGGTCATGACGCCCTTTCAAGGGTCCTACTGTAGGGACACTCCAGGTAATCATAAGATGTACAATTTGCTTAGCCCCTTCGATTTCGTAGGCACGGCGACGGCAGCCCAGCCGCTTGGAAGATGAGAGCACGGAAGATGATCATGTCGGATACTATCCACAGGATCCCTTCCATTTGCTTCGGAATAGTTTTGGATCTCCCTGGTTGGATTGAACAGGAATCAGTCACTAGTGGATTTTTTGCAGGGGGCTTGAGCAAATGGAGGAGCCCTTCACTGTTGTTGGCATGTTCTCAGCATTTTTGCTTGGTTGGTGTGTTCTGTTCAGCTTCAGGGGGCTGCAAAAGTGTTTTACACGCGCAAACCGTTTGACCGTTTGGGTTGGAAAAAACCAGCGAACCAGGACATGTTGCAGGAGGTGACAATTCGCCAAGCCAGGATGTTTTTTCTTCATGAGTCTTTCACTCACTTCCGGGTAGACATGTCTGCATGATTCTAGGAGTCATGCGCCATTGGTGTCTTTCTCGACACGAGTGTGCCCCCCAAAAGTTTGTGTTTTGTTGCTTCCCAACAGCTGAAAGCTTTGTGATCGATATGCCCAGACTTTCACAGAGGGTGTCAAGGAAATCACACAGGGTACCCAGTGGATCCATTCACCTTTTTTGTAGATAGTTAAGGGAAGCAGCCTTTAAAACCAAAAGGAACATGACTGGTTAGCTATTCCAGTGGTCACTGGGATCTACTGGGGTGCACTCCAAATTGCCACTCGAACATTGAGGCTCACCTGGAGTCTCCGAGCCTGAGCCTTTAAAAAGATGGGTCACCCAACTCTAACCCATTCCCCTTACACCCAATACCCACATTTTTTGGGGTATCATGTCGACCCTCTACTAAAAAAGGAGGTATTTACCTTGAAAACCCAGGTTTTCTAAAAAAAATACCCTGGAAAAAGTGCGTATTTGGAGTAGGGGGAAAGCTGATTTTGGGTCCCACGGAGCTCGAGGAAAAGCTCAGCGCAGGTGGCTCGCAAAGAACGTCTTATTCGCTTTTCGGCCGATTCTTTAAGTCGGCCTGAGAACTCTTGACTGCTATTGGGTTGGATCATTCGACTTCAACTTTTTGGTTGAAATCAGCCTCCCAAAAGTCAAACTTTTTGCAGGGGGGTCAACAGCAACCAAGAACTGACCCAATCAGCATCCCCTGTTTTCTAGGGGTAACTGCCCCATTCTTAACCCAGGGATCCAACTCTTTCTAGAAAACCACCAAAGAGTCTGGGGAAATGGCGATCGGTTTTTGAAAAGAACGATGGCTGAAAAGAATGGAATCGGAATCACCCCCTAGATGGTTGGGTTTCCAGCTGTCACGGCCAAAGGTGCTCACCTTTATTTTGGGTCCTTCACGGGATCATGTGTGAGTCTGCTTTGAGGGCGCTGTTCGAGGTTTCTAGGGAAAACCACCCTACTCCACATGCCCTCTTGTTTCAGTGTATTTATGGAACAATCTGGCTTTCCATCACACATACCGACCCTTTTGTTAAGTAGAGGGTTGACATCCTGAAAAAAGGTTTGGTACTTGGAGTAGGGGGAAAAGGAGCCTAATTTAAAGATGAATCAATTCAGGTTCGGTCCACTAGAGTGAGGCAGAACCCGAGTTTTCCCTTGTCTTCATTTCCCAGCCTATGTTGGTCCTGGTCATGGGACAACAATTTCATAAAGATGATAAAAGGGGCAACAAAGTACTGCTCATGATGAAATTTGGTTTGAGAGTACCACACCTTCCAATTCTAGTTATATTAGGCCCTGGTATGCACATGGTGATATGCCTGGATCTCGTTAATCCTCCCAAGGTCCAAGAGTCCAAGAGATCCAGATAGCTCAATTTTGGAAGCGTCCAGCATTTCTGCTTGCCAGCCTTGAAAGCTTAAAACGACCTCCAAACAAAGGCGTCCCATTTGTTCGATCCTGTTCCACATGAAGGGGGTGGAGGCCGACAGGTTGTTGTTCACCAACTATGGCCCTGGGGTCGGTTTGTCTGATGGGCGTTCCCACAGGAAAGTAACCCAAAAGGACTACCCTAGCAAAGAGAAGAACAAAAAAACAAAAAAAATACATGAAGTTGGGACAGGTTCAATTTGTTAAAGGGGAAAAAATGGGTGCCTGGACCCTCAAACTACCTTGCTAACTGGTTGATCTTGATCAGGGTCCCGGTGTCCAGATTCCTTTAGTGGTTTAGAGGGAACTACTGTGGATGGACGGAATCCTGCACCACTTTGAAACCATGGTTGACACCATTTTTCACTGGTATTTTCAGGGGAATCGAATCCTTCCAGGGTTTCCTAGGTAGTGCGAAATGGATTTGGTCCTTCCACAGGATGGTTTCGACGTCAGTCCTTTTGGTCTGGTTTGGAGGAAACACCTGCTTGATAGGACGAAATCCTTTCTCCCAGGTCAACATGATCCCCGAATTGGTGGTTTGCCGATATGGCGTGGTTTGGATTTGAACGGGTCCCTGCTTCGGGCCAACGGGAAGCTCCGAAGCGACAGGAAACTCCTCCGGAGCCTCGTGTTGGTTTTTTTGGGAATCTGCTTTGGACGAAAGACTCTGTGAGCTTGGCACATAGTTGCCCCCATAGTAGGTATCCGTCGAGAAAACGGTTTGGATGCGCTTTTTGTGGTTTAAATTACCTGTTCTTCCCCCTGTTGGTCCTTTTTAGTCTTGGTTTTATTATTCTTCCAATATTCTGCAGGGTTGATCCGCAAAAAGACAATCCAAACTGAATTTGGAGTTGAACCCCCGGATCTTTCAGGGGGTACATGGGAAGCCCCCGGGAACTCCAAACCACCAATTGACTGGAAAGCTGGCAGTGCATTTCAATAGGAAACCACCGAACTTAAACTGGGGCACTGGCTACCTGAATCAGGACCCGAATTTTGATGTCCACCAAGGGGTCCCCTATTCAAACTCACCACCAACTATTTCCATTTTAAGAGATAGGTGTTATTTGGAATCTTAAAACTTAAAGTCCCTAAGTCCCTAAACCCCCTATTTTGCTTCCCCAGAATTAGCTCCCCTTTTTGTTCTTTTCCTTTTTTTGGGGTCCCTTGGCTTACCACTCACCAGGCAAAAAAGATCACATTTTTGCTAGGGTCCTCTTCTTCCAGCCTTGACATGGTGTTCGGGTTGAAGTGATCGTATCATAACCTGGGAGTCTCCGAAATCGATGATCGAGGTATGGTCGCCTCTTTAAAACTTAAAGTCCCGATCAATTCCCTTTTTTTAGGTCCCCTATTTTTAAGTCACTTCTAAAAACATATATATATATATATATGTTTTCCAGGGGAAAACCCTAAGCCAATGGAGGAGTCCCTGTGGATGTCCGGCTTCGTGGTTGAATCGACTAGAAGTTCTGTAGCCATTGGATATGCAAATACAACGGGAGGTATTTACCTGGAAAAACCGAAGCCGGTTTTCATTCCAAAGGAAATACCAACTAGAAAAAGGCCGAATCGGTATTTGGAGGTTACGGGGGTACCTTCCATTTCCATTCTAAACCCAGGGATACCTTAATCTGTTTTTTGTTGCCGCTTGCCTTTCTTTAAAGGACATTTACCACCCCCCCGCAAAACTGCCAAACCAAACCACCAATCCAAACCACCAACAAATCCGCAGCTTTTAGTCCATGTTTCCTTTTACAAGGGCAAGCCATTTTGGGGTTGCCCTAACTTACCTCTTAAAAACACAACTTTTCAACTTTTTGGGTAACATGGGCTATATGTCTGTAAAAGATTAACTTCCCCAGGGCTTGGAGTTTTAAGGGCCCTATTTGTGAATGGCACCGCCCGGATTTTTTTCAGGAACCAAACCCTTTGGATTCGCGGAGGTCATCGCCATGTACAGCCGCGAGCCCGGCATCGACGAGACGCGGCCTCAGGGCCCGGTGGTGAACTTCAATGTGCTGCGTGCAGATGGCCCCTTCGCCGGAAAATGGGTCTGGGTGAATTCTAACTTTGGTGCATTTTGCCAAGGGATGTTGTCGACTTTAACTTTTTGCCAACTAATGGGTTTTCCAATTATAACGCCCTCACACGACCGAATTCACCCCAAATGACGGTTTATGTGGGGAAGATCCCGAAATATGATAATTCACCCAGAATCGGGGGGGGTAGGGTGAGTGGGGTGGTTGGGTGGATGGGGAGGAAGTAGGTGTTTCTCTTCTTTGCCCAACAGCTGTAAGCTTTGGCTCTGTGGTGTGCAGATTTCAGGGGGGTTCGCAGAGAGCTCTCGGGGTTGGGGGATCGCCTGGGACCTTGTTCTTTTTGGGGGGGGAACCCTCAATGGGGCGGGTTCCCCTTTGGTGTCCCGTAATTCTAGGTCCAGGGATCCTTCTTTCTAGAAAGCCACCAAACACCCTGAAGAAATGGCGATCGGTTTTCGAAAATTCACAATGGCTGAAAATAATGGAATCGGAATCAACCCCTAGAGCAATGAATACCACCCCAAGGGTGTCCTCAAACACGACCCAGTTGGGTTCACCGCAAAAAAACTCCACTGTTTTTAGAGGCCCGAGAGTAAAGGTTGGATGTTTTGTTTCCCCAGAATTCGCTCCCCCTTTTGTTTTTGTTTTTGTTTTTTTGGGGTCCCTTGGTTTTCCACTCACCAGGCAAAAAACATATCTCATTTTTTGCAGGGCCGGGTTCTATTTCCAGCCTAGGTTTATGGTAAATAAATGCTGCTCCTTTTTGGAGCACACGACAATTCATACCCCAGTCTTGGGTCTAAGGAGCAGTTCGTTCGGGTGCAGGTCGCCTACCCCCTACTCCAAATACCCACCTTTTCTACGTATTTGTTTGGAAAACCTGGTTTTTCAAGGGTAAATACCTCCTTTTTTAGTAGAGGGTCGACATCATACCCCAGAGCTTCCTCGGCCTGAGTAACTTAGGCCTTTGCCAACGGCCGTGAACACCCCGTAAAAAGGCCGTAAAAAGCCCGTAAAAAGGACGTAAACACCCCGTAAAAAGGCCGGAAAAAACCTCTGTGTTTAAACGGCCTCCGTTTCTCAGGCCTTTGGACTCCCTGGGTACCCTGAAAAAAGCGGGTATTGGGTGTAAGGGTTACTTTTCGTGGGCCTCGCCTGATTTCTCAAGGATCCGTGAGCCAGCCGTTTCTCAAAGTCAGCGACTGGAATTTCTGTGTGTTTCCCGTTAACCCACTTAGGAAATGGGTGACTTATGGTAAATGAGGCCAGTCCAAAATGAAAAACTTATTTTTGGTTTCCCGTGTTTTTTTTTACAACGAGGAATACTGGCGAGAACAGCTAGACCCAGATGGTAGATGGTTTGTCACGTAAAGTTCGAACCCACTCCAAATAAATACAAATGGCGTTTTTTTTTCAGGGGAACCGTGCCAACCCTGTACAATTTGGAATGGGATGCCAGGTTTTTTCGGTTCATATCCAGCGTGTTCCTTCGAAACTTAGGGATCCCCTGATGCAAAACGACTCCAAATATTCGACCACTTCTTTTCAGGTGGTTTTTCCAAACATGCCCAAGCAAACAAAAAGGTATTTGGAGCAGGGGGCATAAGTGGGACGGTTCACCGCAACCAGCTAGGAACAAGGAGCCCTTGTTTTGAATGAATGGGGTTTGCCAGACCAGCCAGACCAATAGAAAGCCCACCCCCCATAGGCCATAGGACACTACTCTAAACTTTGATTCCCCATTCTGTTCAGCCATCGTTTTCTGCAAACAACACCTCCATTGTTTAGTTTTCTTTCTTCTTTCTTTCTTTTGGGGGGGGGGGAAATCCGTGATTTTCCTGACAGACTTGGCTGCAACCGCGAAACGGACACCTGGAGTCTCCCTCTGGCCCTCCAAGAACCGCCCCCTTACTTTGGGTGGACCCCACTTCGCAGAAGCAGACTTGGGTGTGGCTCCAAATTAAACAGGAGGGACAAACCGTAACCCATTTTGGAATTCCGTTTTTTTTGAGCCACAGCCACTTCAAGGGAAAGGCTGCGGCTTGAGGTCTTCAGGAGCTGTTTGGCATCCACAAAACGAAAGAGCACTCTGGAAGGGGCTAGTTGAGAGCCCGATTTCGGTTCATGAGGGTTCCCGATCCAGCAGAAAAGACGGGTTCCATTGGACCGAATCGAATCCCCACATGGGATTCCTGTGTAAAAAGTGCCCCCTACTCCATATACCCACTTCTTCTAAGGTATTTTTTGAAATACCGATCGGGTTTCCATGGTAAATACCGATCCCTTTTTTAGTAGAGGGTCGACATCATACCCTAAAAAAAGTGTAGAATGGCCAAGGCTTGGCAATTCCCGAAGGTAGCAGAAAGGTTTGGTGGGGGGGGGGGGGGCGCTGGGCGCTACACACGATTTGCACTTCCTAAGGCTTGCATTTGTTTTTTCATCCTTGACGCGCAACCCGCCTTAATGTCCTTTTTGCTTCCCTTCACTTGGTGGCTCCCAGCCATCCGGTTCCTCAGCTTTTTCGCCTTTTAGTGTTTGGTAGTTTCCATTTGACCCATGAACAGTTAGTCACTTTTAGCGGGGGATCTGAAAACGGACAGCCCAGTTCAGAGCGATGTGGGTCAAAACCAATGGTACCATTTTGGGGTGGTGCACCTTGGATTTTTGACCCATGGCCAGATGGGAATAGGTTGTGTTGGAATTAAAGTTGTGGGCTGAAAGCGCCAGTGCGATGCAACGACGCACACCAACAGTCACTGACTCCCTGAGTTCATACTCCTTACACCTAATATTTTTTTTTTACTTTATGATTTGTCGAACCCAAAACCGTTTTTTGTTTTTGTTGTTGTTGTTTTTTTGTTTAATCCCCCTCGAAAAAAAAGTGGGTATTGGGTGTAAGGGGTATTTGTTGCCAAGAGATCCAGCGATTCGAGCTGGGATAGCTCCAGGCACGCTGGTGAGCCACATCGACGTCATGGCCTCCGCTGCCGAGGCCACCCGAAGCAACCCGAGAAACACGAGAAACCCGCCACCGAGGCATACCAACCCGTAACCGCCAAAGGCCAACTTGTCTTACCCCGGAACCACCCAATACCCACTTGTTTTAGTTGGTATCATGTCGACCCTCTACTAAAACAGGGATCGGTGTTTACCCTTGAAAAACCAGGTTATTCAAAAATTACCCTAGAAAAAGTGGGTATTTGGAGTAGGGGGTTGGCATTTTTCTGGAAAAGCCGGTTTCGGGTTTTTCCATGGAAAATGCCGATCCCTGTTCTAGAGGGTCGACAAAGAATACCCCAAAAACAGTCCGGGTATTGGGTGTAAGGGGTTTGTGAACCCTCTGAGGGAAAGAAAAGTGTACCCCAGAAGACCGAAACGGGTTTGCCAAAAAGTACCAACTAGCAAAAATAATTGGTATTTTAAGTCGGGGGGTGGGGAATTCTAGCTCAGCCACGATCTGCCATTGCGGTTGCAAAGAGATTTGTGCTGGTCGCTGTCGAGAGTCTTTGCTGAGTGGCCGACACTGATTGATCTTCGGCTCAAGAGCTTCAGTCGCAAAGCTGGCTAGCACTGCTTAGATACCTGGCAGTCTCGTCCTCTCTGAGGGCCTGGTTTCAGACCCATCACGGATCATGTTTTGTATGAATGTGTCCAAGGATGTGAACCCTAACGCATGTGGTATCCCTTCTACATTTTACTCTGCGTCACGCACACGCACACGCACACGCACACGCGCACACGCACACGCACACACGCACACGCACACCGCACACACACACACACACACACACACACACACACACACACACACACGCACACACGCACACACGCACACACCCACACACACACACACACACACAGCAACACACACACGCACACCCACACGCACACGCACACGCACACGCACACGCACGCACACCCACACCCACACGCACACGCACACGCACACGCACACGCACACGCACACGCACACGCCCACGGCCACGCCCACGCCCACGCCCACGCCCGCGCGCGCAAGCGCACGCGCACGCGCGCACCCGCGCACCCGCGCACACGCGCACACGCGCACACGCGCACACGCGCACACGCGCACACGCGCGCACGCGCACACGCGCACACGCACACACCCACGCGCACACACGCGCGCACACGCGCGCACACGCACACACGCGCATTCGCGCACGCGCGCACGCGCGCACGCGCACACGCGCGCATGCGCACACGCGCACACGCATGCACACACATGCACACACATGCACACACATGCACACACATGCACACACATGCACACACACATGCACACACATGCACACACATGCACACGCATGCACCCACACATGCACACACATGCACCCACACATGCACCCACACATGCACACACATGCGCACACACACATGCACACACATGCGCACACACACATGCACACACACATGCACACACACACATGCACACACATGCACACACACATGCACACACACACACACATGCACACACATGCACACACATGCACACACATGCACACACATGCACACACATGCACACACATGCACACACGCACACACCTGCACACACATGCACACACACACGCACACACGCACACACGCACCCACACACACACACACACAAGCAGAAGAACCTTCTTCCGCCATGAAAGTGCATGTTCACTTGCCCAGTGGCGATAGTTGCTCTATAGAGGTCTCACCGGCGACGCCCATCAGCGAGCTGAAGGCTGCAGCGCAGCAGCACTTCACGCGTCGCTTGAAGCTCATTGCGAGCGGCCAGCAGCTCGATCCGACGGTCACGGTAAGTGAGGCTGGCTTGCGAGATGGAGACGTGGTGACTGCCGTTGTTCAGCTTGGAAAACTGGCGGCCACTTACGGGGCGTTCGCTTTTCTTGACCACGGGGGCGATGTTATGACCTGGGGTTTCGGCGGAGACAGCAGCCAGGTGCGAGAGCAGCTGAGGAACGTCCAGCACATCCAAGCAACTGGCGGTGCTTTTGCTGCCATTCTTGAATCTGGGTCTGTTGTGACCTGGGGGAATCCAAACTCTGGCGGAGACAGCGGCCAGGTGCAAGAGCAGCTGAGGAAGGTCCAGCGCATTCAAGCAAGTCGACTTGCTTTTGCATCCATTCTTGAATCTGGGGCTGTTGTGACCTGGGGTGATCCAAAATGTGGCGGAGACAGCAGCCAGGTGCAAGAGCAGCTGAGGAACGTCCAGCACATCCAAGCAGCTGCCGTTGGTGCCTTTGCTGCCATTCTTGCATCTGGGGCTGTTGTGACCTGGGGTATTTCATTGGCCGGCGGAGACAGCAGCCAGGTGCAAGAGCAGCTGGGGAATGTTCAGTACATCCAAGCAACTGAAGCTGCTTTTGCCGCTATTCTTAAATCTGGCGCTGTTGTGACCTGGGGTCATCCAGAATGTGGCGGAGACAGCAGCCAGGTGCAAGAGCAGCTGAGGAACGTCCAGCACATCCAAGCAACTGAGCAGGCTTTTGCTGCCATTCTTGAATCTGGGGCTGTTGTGACCTGGGGACATCCAAACTTTGGCGGAGACAGCGGCCAGGTGCAAGACCAGCTGAGGAACGTGCAGCACGTCCAATCAACTGCAGCTGCTTTTGCTGCCATTCTTGAGTCCGGGGCTGTTGTGACCTGGGGTGATCCACATTTTGGCGGAGACAGCAGCCAGGTGCAAGAGCAGCTGAGGAACGTCCAGCACATCCAAGCAGCTGCCATTGGTGCTTTTGCTGCGATTCTTGCATCTGGGGCTGTTGTGACCTGGGGTAATTCATTGGCCGGCGGAGACAGCAGCCAGGTGCAAGAGCAGCTGAGGAACGTCCAGCACATCCAAGCCACTAACCAAGCTTTTGCTGCTATTCTTGAATCCGGGGCTGTTGTGACCTGGGGTCATTCACAATATGGCGGAGACAGCAGCCAGGCGCAAGAGCAGCTGAGGAACGTCCAGCACATCCAAGCAGCTGCCGGTGGTGCTTTTGCTGCCATTCTTGCGTCTGAGGCTGTTGTGACCTGGGGTTATTCATTAACCGGCGGAGACAGCAGCCAGGTGCAAGAGCAGTGGAGCCGTACGGTGGGTCGGTTGTAACATACACTGAAGCCGTGGCGACTGGACTTGATATTTGGCTAGGTCCCCCAGCTAGGTGCCCTTTTACCACCTTTCTGAGGGGATCGGGTACCCATACTGTTCCATTTGCCTAATCATATGTGGTCTATTTTCCCCTGTTGGTTTGAAAGGGAAAATCGGTTCCTAGGGGATTATTTTTTTTCTTTTTTTCCAGGGGACTTCAGCAACTGGAGGTATTCCAACCTCTCTATCTGACCTAGTTGGCTTCAGGGAGTCCAAAGGCCGCTTCGAGTTGCGGAGGCCGTTTAAACACGGGTTGAAGTTGTTTACGGCCTTTTCACGGGCTTTTTATGGCCTTTTTACGGGGGGGTGTTTACGGCCGTTGACCCGAGGAAGCTCTGGGCGAGGTTCCTTCGTTGCGTCATTCCGGGGACCCTTTTTGGAGCTGGCTGCCGCGGGCAACTCATGGAAATGCCGGGTCGCGACTCCTTTTTTGCAACGGCGTTTTGCGAGGATGACGTTTGACAAGTGCGTCACTTCTCGCGGATCAGAAAATCGGACAGCCCAGATGACCATTTTGGATGTAATGCTGATTTAGGGCCGGTTGTATCGGCTTTTTGGCGTTTTTGTTTGTTTTTGTTTTTGCGGGTTCTGTTCATTTTTCGGCTTGGGGGATGCAAAAACAAGACGGAGTGTTCTTTGTTGCAAGCCCATACTTCAAGCCCAGTGGATCCGTTTACTTGTAGGTAAGCACCATCTAATGAACAGGAACGTAGCTGGTTGCTATGGGTAAACAAAGGCGGCATTTTCCATGGAAACCCGATCGGTTTTTCCAATAATGCCCCAGAAAAAGTGGGTATTTGGAGTAGGGGGGAGTTCGCATGTCTTTGGTGGCCGTTTTCGGAGTTGGCACACACTTTGGGTAGATGGGATCCACTGAGAAGGGTTGGGAACCAACTTTGGGTGGCCGTCTAATTTCTTTTCTTTTTCGGCGCCAGCCAACGGCGCGAGAAAAAGGATTCGAGTCTCTCCAAACAGATCTCTTTTCATGTTTTCAACTAGCTCCCCCAGCTAGGTGCCCTTTCTCACCCCTTTTTTGGGGGTAGTGCCCTTTTACCCTTTTCGGGTTGGGAGGGTTCCCCTACTAACATAGACAAAACCGAAAAAGGGTGGGTACCAACTTATTCTTGGTCCGATTCTCAAATCTGGAGGACCCAGTCCATCAGCCAATCGTTCAGAGGACCTTTGGATCAGGCTCAATAGTCAATTCTGAGTTTCCTTTACGGGTCCTGGTGTTGTCGTTTTTTTTTTTTTTTTTTTTTTTTTGCGGGGGTGGGGTGGAACCATACTTCTATTTGCTTAAAATGAATGGGTGTTATTTTCCCCAGTTGGTTTTAAAGGGAGTCGATTTCACTACTGGACAATATGTTCTCATTTTTCCAGCGGGCACAAATGCAAACGGAAGTGAACCAACACAAGCAACATTGATTCGCAAGCAATGCTGGGCCCTAAAGCGCCCGAACAGAAGCAATACAGTCACCTCCGTCATGCTGTTCTCACTCCCTGAGTTCCTGGACTTTAAGCTGTATATCAACCTGGAGTCTCCATGACCCTTTAAAAATGGGTCCATGACCCCATTATTTTGGGTAATGACCAACCATTTTTTAAGGGTCATGGAGACTCCAGGAAGACCATTTTGGTGCTTTTGTTTTTCCGGCAACGGGCTTCAAGTCACGGGTTGTTCTTGTTTCTTGTTGCTCTTCTTGCTGGTGCTCAGTAGGGAATGAGGGAACGAACCCAGAAAATGTCCCCCCCCAAAAAGAAACAACAACAACGCCAGTTGGATGGTGTTCCTTCACCTTCCGACTCATTCCCCTTTTGTCGCATCAGCACACTCCAGCATCGCCTGA